AGTTAGTGTTGCCGGCCGCTAATAGCCACTGCAGGTCGTTTGCGATGTTGTGTTGGTATTGTCGTGGTTGGATCGCCGCTAGAATCTGCTCCTGCATGGTGTCGGCGTCGCAGTGGTGCCCGTCAAACTTGTAGAGAAATTTCTGTATGTCGTCATCCCATCGTTTTGGTTGCCCTCCATGTTGCCGTCGTCCTTGTTGTCGATTGTTGAGATTTGGGCTCCAATCAAGCACTCTCTGTGTCCAGCATGTCGAAGGGTGAAAGAGCAATAGTGTTCGCCCAAGGCCAAGCCATCATTCGGTGAACGTGGAGTACATCAGGTATGTCCTGTTTGAGCATCAATGTCTCTGCTCTCCGCGTACCCCTGCGGATGAAATCTGACCACAATGCGACGTCTTCGTTTGTAGATTGCCCTGTCACGTGCTTTTGTCGTCGCAGACGTTGTCTTGCGCGTTGGGCTGGCGGGCAGGTGGGTTGCTGCAAACGTCGGGCTCGCTGGAGTCGTTTGGAGCAGTGCTGCTGGTATCGTGGCTGTTGTCTTGGCATGTCTCTGGATTGGGTTGTGGTGTCGGTATGGCTGCCGTGCGTCTCTTCGGTGTTCCGATTCTGATTATGACCGTCCGTCGCTGTGGTCGGCGTAACTGCTGCTTGAGAGGCTCTGTCAGAGTCTACGTCTCTGCGCCGTACGTCATGGTGGGGATGACGGCGCTCCTGTATAGTCGTAGTCGGTGGCGCAGCGGATAGCGTTTGCTGGTAAATTATTTTCTGTGGTTGCCGGAGCATGCCCATTCTGCTTGAATCCGATGTTTTACTCCGGTTTCGGGTGCGTCGTGGAAAGTAATGGTTTTGCCCAGGTCGGTGATGGTGCTCGTTCGTGGTAGTATGTCGATGTCCATTCCTGCTATTTTAACTGCTCGATCGCGGTGCCGAGGCTGGTTGGTCATGATTTTGGTCTTGGTCGGGTGCAGTTCCAGCCCGTGCTCCCTGGCTGCAGTGGTGAGGTCGGAAAGCGTTGCTCTTTGATTGGGCAGTGTTTGGCTTGTCAGCAAATTGGCGTCGGCGAACCGGAGGTTCGTGAGTGTCGCCGAGTCGGTGTGTGCCAGTTGGACGCCTTGGTGCTTCCTTTGCCGAACTGAGATCAGCGGCGTTAGGACGTGATGGAGCAGCGCATGGAATAGTAACGAGCTCTGTGGATCCCCCTGCTTTGTGCCGTGTTGGAAGTCGAACGTTTTGCTGGTGGTGTCAGTGCGGACCATGTCTGTTTGGTCATTGTACATGCGTCGTAGCAGGTCTAGGTATCCAGGCGGGACGTCTTGGTGAAGCACAGCTGCCCACATGCTGTCGTGTTCGACTGTGAAGTCTATGGCTGCAACCCAAAAATTATGCTTCCATTCGGTTGCCCTTTCACGTAGAGTGTTGAAAGGAAAGAAGTGGCCGCGCGTGCCTCGTCCGGGGCGAAAGCCCGCCAGTCGTCGCGTTGCTGTCGGTCTAGGGTTGGTTGTAGCCTGTTGTGCAGTAGTCGGCTGAAGAGCTTGTACAGCATCGGTATTTGGCAGATCGGGCGATAGTTCTGTGGAAGCGCTGCGTCGCCCGACTTGGGGATTACAGTGATGACGGTCTTTCTCCAGCTGACCAGCGTAGGGGCGTCTGCCTGTATGTTGGTTTTGTCCAGTTGCAGTACGGCGCGCTGGAGCTCTGGTCTTTGTTGTTTAAGCATTTCAGCGCGAACTTCATCAGCGTCTGGTGCTTTGCCGCCCTTGAGCTGCGATATTGCTAATTACGGTGAGCTCCGTCGTCGTGAAAGGTGGAATCTGAAGTGGCTTGGGCGTTGCGGTTGGCGTAAGGTTACGGCTGCGGGAAGAAGTATACAACTGAGCGTGAAAATCTGCACATTTTTGTCTGCTATCCCTTGTCTCGTTGTCTGCTTGCTGCCGTCGGCCCCCACCATCTCTGAAATTAGCGTCTTCCTCCGCCGTGTTTTGATGAATCGGACGTTCTTGAGGCCCGGGCACTGCTCCAAAATGGTGCTGATTCGCTCCCTCCGGTCAGCGCGCTTCTGTCGTTGAATGCTCCGCTGGATCTTTTTGCCGATTGCTCGTCGGCCAGTGCTGTTTGCAGTATGCGTATTCTGTCGCTGCTTGACCAGGTCCTGGATGATGTCGTCGTATTGCTGGTGCGTGGCGTCATGGTTGGTGTTTGTCGCGCCTGCTCGTGATGGCGCCATCACGGCGGTAGCTCCGTGAGTTGTGAAGGTGAACCGGCTTTTCTCGATGATGTGGTTGAGCTCCTGCGGGTCTGTCGGAAGTGCTCCCCGTTGTAACTGGAGGCCCCAATGCTGCTGGTACTGGTCGAAGTCCACGTTTGCCCAATGCCATTTGTAAGTGTCGGCGTGCGATGTGGGATGTCCTGGGCGGCGTCTAGTTTTACCGTTCGGTTGAACCTTGAAGCGAATATGAAGGACGACAGCTTTGTGATCCGAGTTGAGGTATGCGATGCTCGTGGCCTCAGCGTTGGTGCACAACGGAAGTGGGCTTCTGTCTACCAGTATGTGTTCGTATCGTCGCGCATTGCCCGCGGTCGTGGGGTGGGAGGGAGGTGGGTGAGGGGGGGGGGGGGATGTGCCCCCCCCCCCCCCCCGTGTTCCTCACCCAGGTGGGGGGACGACGAAGGCGTCGTGCTCGGCGTCGTCGTCGTCATCTTCGATGCAGTCGCTGGCGTCGGCGTCGGCGTCGTGCTCGGCAACCTTGCGCGACCTTGCGCTATCTTGAGCCGTCTTGGGATCCATCTTGCGCATCCAGAGGCCCTCTTGGAGCCCGCTTCGGCCATGTTGGACGCGCCAGCGACCTGCGTCCCCCCTCCCAGGTCCAGGGGGAGGGAGTTACCTGAGCCCCTACCCAGCCGTCCCGCTCACAAACCAAAGCAAAATGGTCGCGGGGCGCCCGCGCATGCTCCAGATTTGGCAGCAAAGTATATGCTGCAATGTTGTGTGACAGGAATGGTTGGCTTGTGCGCAACAAGCAATATGCGCCCCCCCCCTCCGTCCCTGTCAACAACCTATGTAAAGTGGTCGCAGGGCGCCCGCACATGCTCCAGATTCCGGGGCTTGGTGAATTTTGCGTTGCGTTTCTGGCCGTGAAGTCGCTATGGCTCCTGGTTGGCTGCCGGTCGCCTGGGGGGAGAGGTTCATAGAGAACAGTGAGAACCCCTCCCCGAAGAGGAAGAAGGGTGGTTGGAAGAGGAAACGCTTTAAACCACTCACGCCTGGAGGGCTGGTGCGATTCCACAGGAGGGCTGTGAAACAGCAGGCCCCAGGATTGCGCCCTACGTGCCCTCGTGCATGTTGTGCCGGGTGCAGATGTGGTCGCCCGTGCAGCCACGCAGGTTGACCAGTGCGCTCCTGTGCTCTCGTGGATGTACTTGCGGTGCGTACCATGGGCACGTGCGTGCACACACCGAAGAGGTGCTCACGCAGTCCTTCTGTTGCTCCTCTTCCTTCCCCACCTGCTCCTCGTCTTCGGTAGTTTGCCGTTTTGGCCGAAACGTTCTCGGATTCCGAGGGTTTGGGGCTCGACACCCCGAGCGCGACGCGCCCCCGACCGAGTCGGAGCCCCGCCACACCAGGGCCATGTCCTCCGCCACGGCGACGGCCGAAGTGCCCCCCTCCGCGGCTCAGTGCGCGGTCCACGAAGCGGCAGCGCAGCCCGATGGGGCAGAGGCGGCGGAGGCGGCGAGGGCGGGGGCGGCGGCCGCGAGCGAGGAGCCCGACGAGCTCTCCGAGAGGACGCACATCGGCATCGTGAAGTCCTACAACGACCGCCGCGGCTTCGGCTTCGTGGCGTGCGCGGAGATGGTCGGGGAGCACGGGCGCGACGTGTACCTGCCGAAGACGGAGGCGGCGCTGGCCGCGGCGTCGGGCCCTGTGACGGAGAAGATGGCCGAGGACCGCCTCGATTCATCGCTCCAGGCGGCCAACGTTGGGCGCTCCAGAGAGGCCTCGCCGTCGAGGGGTTGGGCGAGTGGACATGTCTTTCCCAGCGGGAGGATTCGGAAGCAAGAGCGGGGTGGTTTCGCTTGCGGGAGCCAGCAGACGCCAGCGGAAGCAACCATCTCCCCAAGAGATGCGCATTCTTGTTGGTTTAAGGTTTCAGGGAAGAGCCAAATGGGGCTGGAGGGGCTGGAGCAGATGGACTCGAGGGATCGCGCCGCATCGCCAGTACATCGGCGATGCGGCGCGTTCCAGTGCCCGATTCTTCCCATCCCGACATCGCCGATGCGTCGGCGATGCATCGGCGGTGCTGCGCGTTCTCGTGCCTGATTCTTCCCATCCCTAAATCGCCGATGTGTTGGCGATGCATCGGCGGTGCGGTGCGATCTTCCGACTCCGCCTGCTCTGGCCACTATCTGGGCGGCCTCCGTTCATCCTCCTTCTATTCCTGTCTCCTCATCCTCCCTTCTCGTTGTTCGTCTAGTCTTTGCTCCTGAACCTCCTTCCTCGCTCTTCGGCTCCTCCTCCTCCTTCTCCTCCTCCTTGTCGTTGAGGACGACGTGCTGGAGTTCAGAGTTCGCCGCAGCGCCGAGGGCTACCCGCAGGCCGCCGAGGCGAGGCGGCTTCAGAAGTTCCGGGGCACCGTGGTCATCGTGGCAAAATACAAGAGTAGTGATGGTGAGTCCTGCATCCTCCCCGAACATCCAGCGTCTTCAACACGCAGCAATCTACCGAGCTTCCTCGCCGCCTTGGGAGTCTGGAGGACGCTTCTGGCCCCAGGACCGTCAGAAGTTTGGACAGGACGCTGGTCCTTGGGATGCGGCATCGAAGGTCTGGGTCCTTCCCTCTCGCGCGTCCCTCCCCTCCCCCTTCTCCCATGCCCCGAGGAAGGAGAGGAGGGAGGAGGGCAGTCTCACTATCCACCGACGTGTGGCTCTGCCCGCCCTGAGGTCAACCCCCCGCGCCCTGCTGGCGAGGGAGGCCCCGCGCTCGCGGGAGTGCTGCGGAGCGGGGAGATGGCGGAGGCGCTGGGCCGGGAGTCCGCAGCGGTGGGCGCGGAGACAGTGGGGCACCTGCGCCTGGAGGAGGGCGACGAGGTGAGCGACTGGAGAAGACGGGGTCGACTGCGCCGACGTTCGCGCGTGAGCCTCTCGCGTGCGGCCGCGCGTGAGCGCCCTCTGCTCCACGCCGCGTGCCAGGCCGGCGGCCCGCGCAAGCAGCGGCGCCAGGTCGCCATGTGCGACCCGCCATCTTTTGGTCGCTCAGAGGTGTCCTTCTGCGTCCCGCGGCTCTGCGACGGGGAGCCGGTGCGCGCCGAGCTGGTGTGCCTGGAGAGCACCCGCCGCCCCGCCGCGGCGGTGCTGGGCCTCTTCCGCGTCCGCCTCCCGCGCGACGGGCAGCGCCCCGACCTCACCATGCACTGCCACGCCTTCTCGGACAGGTCGGCGGGCGCCAGCTCTTCACCTGCACTCCTCCTGGCCGGGCCGATCCAGGGCCCAGGATGCCAGCATGGGCCTGGCCATGGATCGGTGGAGGTGTGCAGCTGGCGTCCTCCTAACAGGGTGGTGGCGACGGGGCTCCCGGCGGACGCCACCGAGGCCGAGCTCCTCCACTTCTTCTCCAAGCAGGGGGCCACCAAGGCTCGAGGGAGAGCCAGTGGCCTCAAACATGAGCGTCCGGAGGGGCCGCGCAACGTTCTTGGCCCGGCGCTGGGGCCCCCCTTGCTCGCTCCGCGCGCCAGGGGGGGTCCAGCGCGGATCCAAGCAATCCGCGTGGACAGCAGGCAGGTAAATTTTATGAGCAGTCCTTCCGTCCTTCCTTCCTTCCTTCCTTCCTTCCTTCCTTCCTTCCTTCCTTCCTTCCTTCAAAGGTGGCGTTGGTGTGGGCGGTGGGCGGCACGGGCTACGCGGCGGCGCATTTCCCCGGCGTCGGGGCGGTCTCACGGCTGCTCGGCAGCGAAGTGCACGCCTTCGCGGACGAGACCGAGACGAGGGTCGCTACGCTGCTCCCCGCATCGCCTGCGGCTGACCAGCCACCGCTGCCTGCGCTGCCGAGGCCAGTCCTGGCTCCTGGGCAGGAGCGGGGTGCGCTGCTCGTCACCTGGTCCCCGTCCGTGATCGCCGCCGGGTACATGCTGGAAATCCGCCCCGCAGGCACGCAGGCGCCGTGGAGACTTGTCGACGAGCTCACTGGCCGTGCGCAGCGATCGGACTGCTCCTCCTGCAAGGTGGCGGGCCTCCCTGCCAGCACGGCCTTCGAGGCACGGGTATCCTTCGTTACGACGTGCGGGACCAGGTCCGAGCCCTCCGAGCCCTCCGAGCCCTCCGAGGCGTGCTCCGCCGTCCCGCCGCCGGCGCCGAGGCCAGAGGAGGCCCCCGTGACCATCCCAGCGGCGGCATTCCCACTGCTGGCGCACACCGGGCCAGCGCCCGCGCCTCCGCCGCCAGCAGCGCACCCCTATGCGCCCGCTCTCGGGTGGCACTGCCTCGGCGACGGGGCCGTCCCGGCGCCCCTGGCGCCCGAGCTGACCTGGGCCGACGAGGCGCTCTCCTCTGTGCTGGTGAGGTGGCCGCCGGTGCCGCACGCCGCGGCGTACGTTGTGGAGCTGTCCGAGGCCGGCGGCTGCGCCTCCGAGCGCTTCGTCTGCAGCGCCGCGCCGTCGGCGCCAGGCTGCCCAGTCGCGCTGCAGGTGGGCGGCCTCCGCCGGCTCGCGCCTGGCGGCTGCTACGCGGCGCAGGTCCGCTGCGTCGGCGAGTGCGGCCGCGAGTCCACGCCCTCCGCGCCCGGCTGGACGCCGGCGCAGCCCCTGGCAGCGTGCTCGCCGTGGACGGCTCCTGCCGCCTCGCCCGGCGCCGCGCCGCTGCCTCGGCTGCTGGGCTTCTCTGGCCAGCCGCTGGCGCCCCCGCCGCTGGGCCCGCCGTCCGGGCTGATCGAGATGATGGCGAAGCTGGGGCCCATGATGGGCTCAGTGCCCCTCGGGCCGCACGGCCTCCAGGCGGCGGCGGCGGCGGCGTCTGGCACCGCGGTGTTCGGCGGAGGGCTCCAGCCGCCGGCTGGGGGTTTCGTCCCACAAGGCGCTGCCGCAGGCGGCAGCGCCAACTCCCTGGTGCTCGACTGAGGCCAGGTGTCGGCGTACTGAACGCAGTCCAGCCAAAGCGCGGACCCGAATTCAAATAAAGATCTAGGGCTGAATTCGAATCAGTAGAGGAGGACGGCGCGCAAGAGATCGCAGCTAGAAGCGGCAGATCTTACTGCTCATCCCCCTGCTGCTGCCCCTCCTCTCCCCGCTCCCTGAACAGACTCGACCCCCAGACCTGTCATGTGACGCTTCCCGAACCGGATTTCGAGACGGCTTCAGCCGTGGCGACGAGGGCGCTCCACAAGGCACGGAAAAAAGCAGAGATTCGCACAGGTGTAAATATCCCGTTCCCTAATTGGCACTTGCCGTTGTGAGCGTTTGGCCGTGGGCGTTTGGATACGCAAGTGAGGCCGAGTGGACGACGGACACGACAACGACGATCACGGCGGCAGCTACGAAGAGGGACGACGAGGACGACTCACAGAAGAGAAAGGTGGTGAGCAGGCCCACTCCCCTCTCCGTCCTCCGCCTCCTCGTTTTAGCCCCTCCCTTCTCTTCCGCCATCCTCCCTTCTCCCTCCTTCTGCGTCCTCCTTCCTCGTCTATCCTCCCTCCTCCCTGGCGGCCGTCCTTCTCCCTCCTCCTGCGTCCTCCTCCTTCTCCTCCTCCTCCTCATCATCATCATCATCCTCCCGCTCTTCCCTGAAGTTTCTAATCCTCTCTCCACCTCCTTCCTCCTCCTCTCTCTCATCGTCCCTCCGTCGCCTGCCTCTTTCTGCTCCTGATGATGGTCCTCCTCTTCCTCCTTATCCTCCTCTTCCCTCTCCCGTTCCCTCTCCCTTTCATTCCCCTTCATCTTGCTCCTTGTCCTTCTCTTCCTCCTCCGCCTCTCTGTGCCTCGCTTCTCCCCACTCCTCCCCACTTCTCCTCACTCCTCATCACTCCTCCTCCTCCTCCTCCTCCTCCTCCTCCTCCTCCTCCTCCTCCTCCTCCTCCTCCTCCTCCTCCTCCTCCTCCTCCTCCTCCTCCTCCTCCTCCTCCTCCTCCTCCTCCTCCTCCTCCTCTCCTCCTCCTCCTCCTCCTCCTCCTCCTCCTCCCTCCTCCTCCCTCCTCCTCCTCCTCCCCTCCTCCTCCTCCTCCTCCTCCCTCCTCGTCCTCTCCTCCTCCTCCTCCTCCTCCTCCTCCTCCTCCTCCTCCTCCTCCTCCTCCTCCTCCTCCTCCTCCTCCTCCCTTCATCTCCTCGGCCGCCCTCCTGCTCCGTCCTCCACCCTCCCTCCTCCTCCCTGGCATGTGTCCCCGTCCTGGGCGGCCTCGCCCCGGGGGGAATGAAGCCACTGCATCGCTCGAGACATCCTCACAGTCTGCTCTGAAAACAGAGGAGCCCGGGCCATCAAGGAAGCAAACCGCATGAGACATCCCCACAACCTGGGCGCGAGCAGGGCAGTACAACCACCCCTGGCGGCTCCCCCTTGGTGTACTGATAAGAGCGCCTCGCTCGAGACATCCTCGCGATCCTCTCTGAAGCACAGGTGTCTGGGCCGCCAAACAAGTCAAGTCGCTTGAGACACTCCCACCATCTGGGCGCGCACGGGGCCGTGCAGCCCCTGGTGGCTCCGCCCCGGCGTGCTGGAGCCAGCGCCTCACTCGGGACGTCCGGGCAACCTGCTTTGAGAGCAGGGGAGCCTGGGCCGCCAAAGAAGCAAACCGCTTGAGACTTCCTCACAAAATGTGCGCGAATGGGGCGATGCAATCACCCTTGGTGCCTCCCCCTTGCAGTGCCGACGCCAGCGACTGGCTCGAGACATCCTGGCAATCTGCTTTGCAAGGACATGAACCTGGGCCGCCAGCCAGGCGAACCGCTTAAGACATTCCCGCACTCTGGGCGCCAATGGGGCCGTGCAGCCGCCCCTGGCGGCCCCCCTTCGGGTGCTTTTTACCAGCGCCTCGCTCGAGACGTCCTGACAATCTGCGAGTCTGTCTGCGAGTGCGTCGCACTTCGAAGTGCGAATGAAGCTCGTTTTGAGCGAGCCTGAGTGTGAGCGACTCTGAGTGTGAGAGGGTCTGGGTGCGAGTGATTCTCTGAGTATGAGTCAGTCTGAGTGTGAGTGATTCCGAGTGTGAGCCTGTCTAAGACGAGTGAGTCTTACTGCGAGTGAGTCTGATTATGAGTGTGTCCGAGTGAGGAAGAAGAGGATGTGAGTGCGCCTGGATGCGGTCGAGTGAGGAAGAGGAGGAGGAGGAGTGGGGATAGAGGGAAGTGACTTGTGAGTCGGAGGCGTCTGAGTAGCAACGATAATACGATCGTAACATGGGGAAATAAGTAGTCTGCGATCCTGCGTGTTGCTCGTTACCGCGGCCACCAGGGTTGTACCACGATGCGTGTTGTCTCCCCCCCCAGCCCCAGCGGCCGTCGTCGCTGGGGTGGCGGGAGAAAACGTAGGAGACGATTGACGTGGTGCATTTGAGGGGAGAGCGGGGGAAACGGCAAAACGGCGGGACGATGTATGGCCCACGTTCGGCAAGGAAGAGGAGGATGAGGAGGAGGGATCAGCGGTTGCCGCGATCCTCCTTGTGCCCCTCACTCCTCCCGCAGCTCCATGAGCTTCTGGGCCAGCCCGCAGGACCCTCCTGTTCCTGAAGCGTGAGGGCGTGGAGGCCGCTCTCCGCCAGTCTCCGCGCTCCTCCTGTCCCCGTCCTCTTCCCCCCCCTCCTCCTCCGCCTCCTCCTCATCATCATCAGCATCATCCTTACCATCATCGTCCCCTACAACTACCCAGCATGAACACACCACGAGTGCTACTCCTCCCTCCGCCGGCTACGTCCTGAACATGTCCCTCCTCTTCCTGTTGGAGCTTTCGTCACGCTCCCTCTCCAAGGGGACCAACTTGTCTCGTGGACTCTGGCCCACCCGCCGTGTACTCATCAGGCAGACCCTCTTGGACGATTTTGGGTTTCTCGCCTCGCCTCCCTTCATTCGCATCTCTCCCTCCCCCACTCCTTTCCTCTCCCCCCTTTCCCCCTCCTCCCCGCCCTTCCCCACCTCTCCCTCCTCCCCCCTCTCCGCCTTCTCGACGACGACCACGACGACGACGACGACCACGACCACGACCACGACCACGTTCACGACCACGACCAGGACCAGGACCAGGAAGAGGACCAGGACGACGACGACGACGATGACGACGACGGAAGCGGCGGCGGCGGCGGAGTCCAAGCAACGGCCAGGTGCTCAGCTCGGCGTTGAGCCGCGTCCGCCGCGATGCCACCGTCCGCGCGCAAGCCTGGCGGCCCGGGAGGGGGGTGGATTGCGGCGGCTACGGACACGCTCCTCCTCCTCCTCCTCCTCCTCCTCCTCGTCCTCGTTGCAACAAGAGGAGGGGAGGAGCGGGAGGGGGACGAGGAGGAGGTGGAATAGGAGGAGGAGGGGGAGGAGGAGGAGGAGGAGGAGGAGGAGGAGGGGGACGGACGAGGAGGAAGATGATGATGTTGTGGGGAACGGGACGAGGAGAGGCCAGGAGAGGAGGAGGAGGAGGAAGCAGGGGGGGAGGCCCTTCGTCCATGTTTTCTCCGTAACCGTCTCCTCCTGCTCCTCTCCCCTTCGTGTCCTACCTCTCGGAATTGCCCACTTTGTAATCGTTTTGCGCTGCTCCCCCTTCCCCTCCCACACATTACATCATTGTGCCCTCCCTCTGTTCGAGCTGTCATACCTCCACGATCCTCCTCTTCCACCCCCCTACTGTATATATATATATATATATATTCATTTATGATCCTCGTCGCTATCGTTTCTCCAGTACCTCATGTGCTCCCCGTTTGTTTCCTTCTATTCTCAGTCTCCTCCTGCTCATCCTCCCCCAGAGGCGTCCAGATTTCCATGCCACCAGGGAGAAGTGCACTCGTGACACTATTTCCTCCAGCTCCGGCCGTGGTTGCCGTGTGTTTTGAACGTCGCATGTTTAGAATACCTTTGGTGAGTATGGTAGACATCTCCAGCACCGCTGCGCGCTACGCATGGTCAGGAATGGAGCATATCTTGTCTCTTGTTCTGGTGATCGCTTGCCCCCGGCAGGAGGCTTGTCTGGGCGAGTTTCCTGCGAAAGGCTCACACAACGCTACCTGCGAGCTCCGCTAGACAGAACCAAATTCAACTCGGAGACGTCCAGAGCCCTCTGGAGGCAAAGCACGGGCGAGACACACGCGACGACACTCTGCAACAAACAACGCAAGTGCGACAAACAGTTCAGGCTGTTCGTCACACTTGCGAAGAGCATCGTCGCCACTGCAGCGTGCGATCGCACATACTTCGCGAGCGTGTGTTTTGGTGCAGCGTGAGCCGAGGCATCAGCGCGCACACTCGATCCTCTTCGTCTGCGCTGCAGGAGCCCCGCCCCGCCTGGCCGCCTCTTCCCGCAGGTGGCGCGGCCGCCTTTTCCGCTGGCGCTTCCGGAGGGTGGTGCGGGCGGCGCTCAAGCTGCAGGCCCTCGCGCTCTGGGGGGGGAAGGGAGGGGAGGAGGGGGAGCGGGCGGAGGATGCCCAGGGACTCCGAGGGGCAGGAGGATGTTTTCGTGGAGAGGGGGCCATTGGGCCCCGAGGAGGGGGAGAAGGAGGAGGAGGAGGAGGAGGAGGAGGCTCTCAGGCTCCGAGGAGGAGGAGGTGGAGGAGGAGGGAGGAGGACCACAGTAAGCGCAGAATGCATCAGCGATGCTGCAACACTCCCTCCAGGTCCCAAGATCCCGCCTCAGAAGTCCGTAGCCATTTTGGCTCAAGTTCCGTCCAAAACAGAATTCTACCTGTTCAGCTTACCGATCACCTTTGCAGGCAGAGCCCCTTCCTCGACGCCATGGCGACAAAGGTGCTTATTGCGCTGGCGAGCCCCATCCTGGCTGCGGCAATTGTGTTGAAGGCGGAGGAGGGCGCCACCAAGGCGAAGTCTGGAAGCTGTGACTGCATGACCTAGTCGGATGTATACTACACAAACAAGGCGGTGTGTGGCCGGGCCAACGAGCTGTACTTCCTCAGCAAGGCAGGCTTCTCCGCGTCCTACGCCGATACGGAACCCATAACTGGTCTGCCGTACAAGATTTGCTACGATTTCTTTAAGAATGTGGCATCACCGGCTTGTGTGAACATCGACTTGGTTCCATTCCCTGCAGATGAGTTTTCCGGGCAGCAGTGGTGCTACGTCTCGAACGATTGCGCGAACCTCAACGGTGGTGGGTACGCAACTAATATCGAGGGCTTCTCGCAGAGCAGCTGGCACAATCTGCAGTCCGCAGCACAGCAAGCCTGGGAGATCTGCGACCCTACCGAGTCTGACACGCCCGCGCTGAGCGTCAAGCTGGTCCCTGAGGTTGTTGCCTTGGGAGTCGAGAGCGACGTGAGCCTGTCCCAGCTCCTGAAGCTAGCGTACCCGGCTGTGAACATCTCCTGGGGGGAGGCTTCTCTGCGTTGGCAGGCAATCGACGCAGCGTACGAACCTGGCCGCACCGTCACAGAGATGGTCGACGCTGTCCCGGAGCTCACGGGGTGGGGGAGCGAAGTCGTGGACCGCCGCTTGCGCGCAATCGCCAAGTCGGAGCAGGGCACGGTATTGGACTCTCCCGGGCACGGAGACATCTATCATGTGGTCCAGGGGCGCGCCGCGTACGTGGTGCGAAGGGCCGCAGACGGCAACATGGCGTATTTGGGGGGCCATTTTTCCCAGGAGTACACGGTACCGTGTGTGATTGGCTGTGCAGATGCGGAGCCTCGCAATGCATTGGACCTCAGCACCCTATGAGAATCTATGGCAAATCACGGAGCCAAGGAAGCAGCAAGGTGTCGCGTTGGGCGCCTTGCGGCGGAAAGAAAAAAAAGATCCCGCCTCAGAAGTCTCGCGCAGTGCTCCCTTCTCCTTGCGGAGAGCGTCTCCTTTATAGACGGGCGCCCCATGGGCCCCTGGCACTCAGGCGAGGGCCCCGTACTGAAAAGGACACGCTCTCCGGTCTTCAAGTCATGAGAACCTCCAAGCAGGATCGCAATGCTTGAGGAAATGCCAAGCAAAAGTCCAAAGTTGAGACAGGGACGCCATCCATCCGTGCAGCCGTTGCACAGTTCCATCGTGAAGTAAAGGCAGCCTCCTTCGACAGCTGGTTATGAACAGACGCCGCCTTCCCTGCGTGTGCCTTTTGCCAGCTCTCCGCACGGAATTGAGCAGCGCTGCGGGTAGCGCCACATTGTTTGATCGCCCGCCAACTGTAATCTGAAGTTTCACCAGCATGCACAGTGAAACAACTGGCTCACCTTGCCGACATGTCTGCCTGTTGTGCAACGAGGGAGATCGATTCATCATGATGAGGTGTGAAAGAATATGAGGAGGAGGAGGAGGAGGAGGAGGAAGAGGAGGAGGAGGAAGAGGCGGAGGAGGAAGACGATGTCACGGGGGGGGGGAGAGTCGGTCGAGAAGGATGAGGAGGAGGAGGCGCAGGGATTTGACGACGATCAGAACAGGGACGAGCGAGCGATCTCAGCGTCTATCCACAGGAGTGCTGTTACTTCTAGCTGGGCCACGTGGGGGCCGAACGGGGATGTGTCGGCTTATGTCGCCTATAAGCTGGCCCTGATGGTGGAGCCGCGGCCCCAATCCAGCTGCAGATTGAGGCGGCTCTCGACCCAAGGGGCCACTCGCAGGTGCGCCTTATAATTCATTCGTGTGGATACTGCATCGCTGGACCTCGGTCAGCGCGGGGTGAGAGGCGAGGGAGACGGAGGGGAGGCGGGGGCGAAGGAGGGGGAGGCTCCGATGACCGCGGCGACGCAGGCTTCCTTACCCGTGGGGCCAGCCGCGGGCTCCGGGAGGGCCGGGGTGCCAGGGGCCACTGCTGGGCCCACGGGGGCCTCAAACTGGGCCCTCCCGGGAACGAGCCTTCTTCGGCCCTGTTTCCTCGCGAAGTCCGGGGTCCAAGCGGCCCGACATCCTCCGTCCACCTCCGGGAGCTCCGTGACCTAAATATCCGGCAGACCCTGCACGAGGAGGGAAGACTCAGTCCTAGGAGCCTCTGGCATCGCGGGGACCAGGAACGATTGCAGCGTCTGCAGTATGCTCTCGGCAATGCAGCTGCAGATGCCAGGGGGGTGACCTTCTTCTGGGCCGTCCTGAAGGCCCTCGAATTACCTGCAAACCCTGGCAATGTGGTGTGGGCGCCGCGCCGATGGAAACATGTTCCTCCTCCTGGGGTCGCGACCAGTCGGCCGTGCAGCCCCGCCATGCGGTGTCCATACAGCCTGGTCGGGGCGCGGCTCAGCTGGCCGTGCTCGCACTGGTCGAAATCGGTCGTTGTGCTGCACGGCGCGGTTGGCACCGCCAGCAGCGGCCCCCATGTCCAGCTCGTCACTGCCTGCAACCTACAGTGGCACGGTATGGGGTGTTCAGACCACCCCGCCGTGTCCACTGGTGGGTGCCCGGCAGCTTCACCAGCACAATTACAAGGCTGCCGCCGACCTTGAGCTGATCTCGCTGTGTGGGCGTGGTGAGCCAGTGAACCGCATACCGAGCCGCGCTTGACGTCTCGCAGGGGGCGCACCCGCCCGTCAGGACGATCTGGCGGCTCTTGATGCCGTCAGTGAAACGCTTCAGGCTGTCCGCCCGCATCAGGTCGCACCCTTCCGCGTCGATGGCCACGTCGATGCTCAGTACCACGATGTGGATCTTGGCAGAGACTACTGCACATGCTTGCGAGGTCTCCAGCGCCTGCTCTAGCTGCTCAGGGTCGTACCGCTCGTCATGCATTTGGTGGTGCCGGCAGGTTTGGCGTCGCCCGCTTCTCGTTCAGCAGGTCGATGGCTGCGTGGTCCAGCGCTTAGCCGGTCTGCAAGAGTGTGTTCCTGGCTTGCTCTGGGCTTTGCTTGTGTCGCCGATGCTTTGGTTCTGGCCCATGAGCACGCGTCGCCGGCATGTCGACCCGCTTCCTGAGCAGCCCTCTCGGTCGGGTGTTTTCCTTGCTGACATGTTCCTTCTGCAGCTTTGTGCTGGTGCCGTCCTCGATGGTGGCGACCACGCATTTAGGGACTGCAGTGGCGAGGTGCCCTGCGAGGTGGTGGCGCTTCGCGAACTGCGCGCGGCAGGCTTGGCAGCAATGGCTGTCTCTTTGTGTCGTCTACCTCGATTCGATCTACGAGGTACTGGCGCAAGCCAAAACCGAGAGGCAACGCTGCGGCCTGATTTCGTTCGCCTTCGTAGCCAGTGCATCACACAACGCGTTGCCCACGCGTTCAGCCCCGTTCCCCCTGTCGCGGTCGCAGTCGAAAGACATGTGTTGCGTGGGTCAACGCGCGCGTCTTTCATGCGAGGATCGCTCGCCGTGCTTCGCATGCCGCGCAGGGCCGCCTGGAAGATGTTCGGCTTGTTTTTTGCGGTCGTTGCGCGCGGTGCAGTTCTCGTAGAAAATATCCCCTGGATGTTGCCCTTGCGCCTGGGGGCTGCTGCTCTTGGCTCTTTTAGCGTGTGTCGACTGCTGCGTGAACGGAATCAGCTTCACCAGAAAAGATGTCCCTGCCTTCTTCGTCCGTCCTCGCAGCCTCTTCCCATCTGTATCTCCTCTCCTCGAGCTCGAGCCTCGGGCGGTTCGGAGTTCGAGCCTGGAGGGTCGAGGTTCGAAGTTTTTCGTCGCCTCGGCTCGCGGGCGGGCCCAGAGGCTTGAGGGGGGGGGCTTCGGGGCGCCTGGGGCCTCGGGTGGGGGCCTCGAGGTGTCCGGGGGCCTTGCGGTTCCTCTTGGGGCTCTTTTGGGTCGTCGTGGGCCGTCCAGAGGCCATCTTAGGCCGCCTTCAAGGCCACTCGGGGCCGCTCGGAAGGCACGCTGGGCCATTTTGCTGTTGGCGGCGCGGGCCCATCGCATTTTACGAAGGAGCGCGGCTTCGGGCACGCGCCTCCAATGCTTTTCAAAAGGCGCAAGGCCATCGGGAGCGGGGGAACGCACGCCGCGGCGCGCTGCTCGGGGGGGTGCTGTTAGTTAGATTAATGCAGAAGCCGCAATAGACAGTTGACTGGCATCCCGTCGCGCCTGTGCGGCGCAGGCACGGCAGGGCATGCGGAGCGGGCGCGCGCGCGGGGGTATTTCTGGAGATCGCCGGCTTTTGGCCTGAGAGCGGTCGAAACGCTTGGCGGGCGCTTCGTTTTCTAATCGTATATTTGTTGACATCATATCTGCTAATGGTATATGTCAGATGTTGTGTGTCCTTACTCCTGGCAAGCCTGACGATCGCCGAGTGGTTCCGGGAGGCGTGGGCCCTCAGGCCCCGTTGCTTCTTGAAGTCCTGCTGGCGCTGCGGGCAGGTCCAGACGCCTGCTTGCGTCGAACCCTCCTGTTTATTGGACTGGCCGAATGGACGGCCCTGTCTCCTGGGCCACGGCGCGCCAGCCCGCTGGGCCATGTTGACGAATTCCTTGGCCGCCACTCGCGCGGCCACCTCCGTGCCCAGCGCTGCTGCCGACGCCTTCGGCGCGTCGTGGATTTCCACGAAGTGTCCAGGTCGTCGCTGGGATCGGGGAGGTCCTTGAGGTTTGGGGCCGGCGCTTGCAGTCATCGCTTGTCCCCTATGAGGAGCTGCGGCCGGGAGTGGCGTTTGGGGCGTTGCGGCAGCGCGAGCAGCTCGGTCACCAACGCGAAGGCCTGCGGCGGGCCCCCCGCAAGCAACTCGCCGAAGAGCCGCAGGCGCGCCATTTTGATGCGCGCAACGGGCATGCCGCGCTTGACTTTTGCCAGGACCACCTCGCCCCCAGCGCCCGGCGTCTTCTCGATCCGGAGCTCCCCTCCCGAAGGGGAGCTCGCGTCCTCAGCGTCTGCCGTCTTCTCGATCTTCGGCGGGCTTCCTCTCATTGGTCGCCGCTTTCTATGGTGCCATGACCGTGCCATGGTGGTTTCGCGCTTCTGCTTGCGTCAGCCCATGCCGCCTGCCCTGCCCCGCGAGAAGCAGCGCGAGGAGCGCGCGGGCGAATCCGCGAAGGTCATCTCGGCGGCGAAGTCGAGCTGCGGGCCCTGTCAGACCTTGGCCCGCCATGGTCGTCGATCGAGGCGCCCGGCGCGACGCGGGCGTGGGCGGCCTCCATGGCGGCGTCCTGGAAGCGTTGTGGTCGCAGTTGAACTGTGCGCCGCGGTTGGAGAAAACGGCTTTCGCGCCCCGGTGGTTTACTGGTTTGGTCGGGGCCGATGGCGATGGAATTTGGGGGCCCCGTCGCCGGGCCGACCCAGTAGAGCCCGCCGTCGTCAGCCAAGGCAGCGCCTCGGCACGGGTCCTCTGCTCAGTCGTCGTCAGCGCCCGGGATCTGAGCCAGGAATCTCGTCTCCGCGCCGACCGCGAACAGGCCGAGACTTTCATCTCCGAGCCTCTGTTCAGTCACGTCTATCCCCTCGGCCATGACCCGCTCGCAGGCCGGTCCGCGTCCCGCGCCGTTGGACATGCTCGCCCCGGCTGGCGCGCCAGCGCAAACACCGCCGGCGCCGAGCCAGGGCCCCGCCGCAACCGAAGTAGGCGCGGAATCACAACCACATTGGGTGCGCTGCGCTCTCTCCGAGCCGACGTCCACGCGCGGGGCGCCTCGCCCGGGGCAGCCTCCGCGCCAGTCCTCTGCGGGGTGCGCCGGCGCAGAGATCGCGGCCTCTTCTGGGTCGGTGAATGCGGCGCCCGATGGCGTGGGAGCTGATGCCCTCGCCCCTTGCGCAGTTGCTGGCGTGCCGAACCCTCCTGCGTTGACCCTCTTGGCCTGAGGGGAGGCTGGCGAGATGCTGAGGCGCGAACCAGCCCCGATTCCCCCCTCGTCGTCGTAGCGTCGCGCTGGGGGCCCTGTCGCCGAGCAGCTCCTTGAACTCCCCTCGCGCCCTCTCCATTGACCTTCAGCATCGCGCCATCGCCGCTTCCCATCCTTCCTGGGCGCCCATTTCGGCCTGCATCTAGACGTGCTCGATCATCGCCACCCTGTGGCTCCTGCATGTCCTCCAAGCTTCCTCGCGCATCTCCTCGGCCAGCTCCCTCGCCGACCTGCTGCTCTTCGGAGCACCTCCCCAGCCGCGGTGCTCGGGCTGCTGCAGACCCTCCTGCGTGCACGGGATGCATCGTGCCTGCCATGCCCCCTCGCCCGCCTCCGAGTCGTCCAGCCGAGGGATCCAGCATGCTGCTCGGCACGCCATGCCGCTGCAGAACTTCGCTTCGGCTGCGTTCGCCACCAGGAGGAAAGGGCGGCCTTCTCACGTCGTTGGGCCCCACTCAGTGGTGGTCGAGCGCGACGGGGGTGGGCCAGCGCGGCCCCCGGCATTGCAGCGCCAGAGCGGAGTTGCCGACCTCCTCCCTCCACTGCCAACTGCGCCGCCAACGCCGACATCCACGATCTCCCTGCTGGGGCACCTCCAATCCGGATCCTGCGGCGACTGGTCCAGCGCTTAGTGGGCCCTGGAAACGACAGGGCCGTTTTTTTACCGGTTCCGTTTTGCCGTTTTCTTGCCGGTTCCGACGCCGTTTTTTGACCGGTTCCGTCGCCGTTTATTGTCTGGTTCCGGCTCCGGTTCCAATCCTGGAGCCGTTTTTTTGCCGTTTCCGGTCGCCTTTTTTTTGCCGTTGCCATTTTCAAGGGACATTTGTTTGGAAACGGTGAGAAAACGGCCCTGCCGTTCCCGGGGCCCACAAAGGTCCAGCGCGCCCGCGAGCTCGAAGACGCCTTCGTCGCTGGTGTCCCCCACTGGCGCTGGCCGCCCACATTCCCATTCGCGTAGTCGCACGGCGATTTCCCCGCCCCCGCAGCTGTTGCGCGACGACGCGGGCCGACTGACTGCCCCAGGAGCGACGGCCTTCGGCGAGAATGGTCGGCCCAGCCAGGCCGGCGCATTTTCGGCGGCGCAGTGCGCGCGGGCCGCAGAGCAGCGCGCGCCCCCCGACCCCATGGGGAGGGCGAAGCTGCGGCGCCCGCCCCGCCTAAGCTGACGCCCCTTTCGCTGGGCGGGCCGACTTGCAAAACAGAAAGACTTGACAAAGCGATGCCTCCATCGGGTGAGTCGGCGGTTGCTTGGCTTCTGGGCCGAGGAGGGGCGCAGGGGGTGCTCGTCCTCCCCGTCGCCGCCACCTACCGCTGGCTACTCTGGGTGACGCAGGGAGTGCCCGTCCCCCCCTCGCCCCCGCAGTTCGCGGCAGCCGCAGTCTGGCCCTTGTGTCCTTCGTCGTCTGCAGCGCGCCGCCTTCCTTCGCCAGCTGCCGCGGTGCCCCATTCATCGGGAGGGAGGACATGCGGTCGCCCATCTTCAGCTGCAGCCCCGATGGTAACTGCCGTGGCCGGCCTCGGCCTCGTGGCCTTGTTGCACGTGGTTTTGCATCGGCGTTGGTGCTGCTTGGCCGCGTCCACTAGCAGGCTGCGGAACTTCCGCAGCGCGAGCTGGGAGGAGTTCACCACGGAGATGCACTTCCAGTCAGTCCTCCATGCGCGCTGCCACAGGCCCGCTCCGCAGTTCCGCGCATCGCCGATACTGCTCGATGCGTGCTCGATCAACCCCCTCGGCCATGCTATCGCTAAGGCTACGCCGAGGCATGAACCTGAACAGCAGCCAGCTTTCTTATCGCGCGGAAAGGGTTCGGAACCTCGTCGCCGACCTTGTCCGCGAGAGAGGTTTGGAAGTCGGGCCCTCTGGCCTAGGAGGCAGCGCTTATGTGCTTCGAGGCCCTCACGACCAAGTGCAGGCCTGACAGTAGACGACCAAGGGGCCGTCTTCTGCTGTCTCGACCGCGATGCCTTGCTAGAGTTTGGCCTCTCGCAGCAAGCAGCTAGGATTGAAAACGCAGCGCAGGCGCAACTCCAGCGTCCCTTTCGACGCTGACGCGGACTGCACCAATAGTCTGGCAGATCCCTCCTCCCCTCCTCCTTTGCCTAGGTTTAAGACATGTGGATTGGATTGCTTCTTCCCCGACTTCTCGCTCTGGGCGCCCATACTGGTTTTGTCTCCTCATCCTCCTTTTTCTCTGCTCCTCCTGAGATTGCACTGCTGCGCGCTGCATGTTGCGATGCCTTTATGTCCGCGCTGAATGCTCGAAGGCTGGGAGCGCGTGGATCCCCCGCCCAACACTTTGAAGCGAGGCTGCGAGGCTCTTCTCGCCGCTACAGAGCTCTTTCAGCTGTCTTGTCAGACGGCCCGTCCGACACTGTAAGGCGGCTCACTATGTGTGCCTTGCTTCGGGTGGAGTTTGCTGACGTGGACTTACCGCCGAGGGCACCCGGGACTCCTAGAGGCCGCTGGGTGTCACCGGGGGCCCCTAACTCCAACCTGAACCTTTCGACTGGGGATGTTTTTTAAATGAAAAAGTGTCTCACTTTCCCAACTGTCCCCGCCACTGTCCCCACCACGGTCCGACTCTCCCCATTGTCACCGCTGTTCCCACTTCTGTACCACTGTCCCCGCTGTCCCCACCACTGTCCCACTGCCCAGTGTCTCCAATGTCCCCACCGCTGTCCCACTGTTGCCCCGCTGTCCTCACTGTCCCCGCCACTGTCCCACTGTCCCCACTGTCCCCACCACTCTCCCCACTGTACCACTGTCCCATTGTCCCATTGTCCCACGAGGATGGGGGAGGGGGAGGGGTTCGAACCGGTAGTGACCCCCCCTCTTTTCATGATGGACTGGGGGTGGGTGGGGAAGGGGGGGTTCGAACCAGTACTGACCCCCCTCGGTTTTTGAGAGGGTTGGGAACCCCCAGTGACCCCCCCCCCCGGTGTTCCGCCAGCAGCGGCAGAACACACTCTTTCCACGATCCACAACCAAAACCAAGCACGAGACCCGAAGGTATAAGGGCTATGCTACGAAGTTGTTCTTGGTATGCGGCCCCTGCTTCTCCTCGAGCCTCCGTGCTGCTGAGTTTGCCTGTCTGCGCCTGATGCAGCAGCCTTTTCGGTGAAGGGCCCTGGGAACTTTCAACACTCAGAGGCACAGGCAACACGTATCGATTGCTCCATCCCTGGAGGTAGTGTTCATCACATGTCTTTTGCTAGTACCAGGGAAGGACCAGCCAAGCACATTATACGCCCGATTCTAACGGGCAGAGCTTGTTTGTGAAGGACACCGGATGGTATTATCACTTTAAGCTGACGGCCGCCGCTGCCGCCGTGAGTATCCCATCTTCCCGTTTTTTCCGCGCCCAATTCTCTTATGAGGCTTCGATTGCCCGCCATAGTGCCGAACAGAAGAAGATGAAGCGGAGCATGAGGAGGAGGGCGAGGTTTAGGACGACGACTACGATGGTGCCGACGACGAAGTGGAGACGGGAGAGAGAGCAGGGTGCAGTGGATGAGGAGAAGGGGCGCGAGAAGAGGAGGGGGCGATGAGGAGGAGGAGGAGGAGAAGGAGGAGGAGGAGAAACATGAGGAGCATGAGGAACATGAGGATCATGAGGAGGAGGAGGAGGAGGGGGAGGAGGAGAAACAATACAATCATATACTATGATTGCGGTGAGAACTGGATGAGAAGGAAGAAGGGAAGAGGAGGGAGGAGGCACGGACGGGCAGAGGCTCCAAAGCCGCCGTCGTCCGCTTTCCGACTGCGCAATATTTGTGTGAAGAAGCCAGCGGGTCCGGCATGCCGAGTTGCCGAGGCGGCGGTCGGTTGCCGAGTTGCATCTCGCTTGTTGCCCAGGGCTGCCCGGTTGCATAGTTGCCCGGTTTGGCCGGGCTGCCCGATGCCAAGCATTGCTAGGCAGCGCCGAGCATTGCAAAGCACTGCCAAGCAGTTCCAAGCAATGCGAAGCAATGTCAAGCATAGGCAAGCAATGCAAAGCGACTACGTCCTTCCTTGCTTCACGACTTACTCGGGAGATTTTCCACTCACTGGGGTCGCGCCGGGTTCATCGCCTATGTCGGCGTCGGGGGCCTTGACTAGGCGCCAGGATCGCCGAAAACGGCTCAGGATGAAAAGCCAGCCCTCGGGCATGGTCCGAGACCTGGGTCCACGTTGTGGGAAAGTCATGGTGTCGGAGGTCTGTCTCTGGCCCGCGGTCACACACCAGGACAGCCAAACGGTGCGAGATTTGTGCGAAAGGTGGAATCGAGAGTTCTGGAGCCGCCGCTCATTTCAAAACCAGGACATCAGAGGTCTGGACGCGTGGCCGACCTGAGACTTTTCCAAGATGGGCCGTGCATCGGCCGCGTGAGCCTGGGCTCCCAGTCCAGCGATATCCTGTCCGACTGTCCGCCGATGTTCATCTCACGATGGGAGCCGTGTTGGCCCGAGTGACCCATGGAGCCAGTGCTCGCAACTATCGCTCCGCAGCGTCTGCGCATCAGCGGACCCTGACTGGTCCCAGGAGGGGCCCAGGCGATCTTATAACTCAATGTCTGCCGAACCGACGGAGCCGTTCGGGCCTGCCGGCCCACGGCCCGAGTGGACGTGGGAGACGCTCTCGACGCTCATCGAGTGGTACGAACGCAAGGGCGAGCTCTTCGCCGCGACGCTGCCGCCCGAGCAGATCAGGCGCCGCCTGCGCTACGGCGAGGCCGCCGGCGAGAACACCGCGCTGGACCTGCTGCTCCCGGCGGCGGGCCCGGAGGCGCCGCCGCTCCTCGTCTACTTCCACGGCGGGTACTGGCAGGCCGGCAGCGCGAGGGAGGCGCTCTACCTCGCCGAGCCGCTTCTGGCGGCCGGCGTGGCGATGGCGCTCGTGGACTACGACGTGTGCCCTACGGTCTCCATGGACCAGATCGTGCGGCAGGCCGCGGCCGCGCTGGCGTGGTGCTGGCGCCACGCCGCCGAGCTCGGCGTGGACCGGCGCCGCATCGTCGCCGCGGGACACAGCGCTGGCGGGCACCTCGCCGCCGAGCTCCTGGCCACCAACTTTGCGCTCCTCGGTGCCGACCTGCCGCCGTGCCTGGTGGCCGGCGTGGTCTCCTTCTCGGGGGTCTTCGACCTCGAGCAGCACCTGCTGCGCCCGACCACCGAGGAGCTCGTGGCGCACGACTACAACGCCGCCACAGGGCTCGACGCCGAGGCGGCGCGCCGCCTCTCGCCGTGCAGGCGGGTGCCAGCGCGCTCGGTGCCAGTGCTCCTGTACGTCGGCGGGGCGGAGGAGGCCGAGTTCCACCGCGACCACGCCGCGCTGTCGGCGGCGTGGTCGCCGCTGCTGGAGCTCGAGGGCACGGTGGTGGCGGGGGCCGACCACTTCGGGTGCCTCGAGGCTCTCGTGGCGCAGCCAGCCGTCTGCGCCCGGATCGCCGCCCTGTGTCACACGGGCCGTTGATGTGCGGGCCACGGCCTGCGTGACATGGGTGCAGCATGAGCGGGCAGGCCTCCTCTCGTCCGCGTCGCAGTTTTCGAGGGATCATCGAGCTGCAAAGTGAGGCAATCTAGACTGCCTGTTCGCCATACTCCTGCTAGCGCCCTTCTCTCGTTCAGCGTCCTCCGAAGTCTTCCTCATCCCGCTCATCCGACTCCTCCTTTGGATCACCTGTGAACAGGCAAGAGCAGCGCGGGCCCTGCGCAAAGACCACATGCACAAGCAAGTTTGGAAGCGTGCGCAAGCTAAGCTGTGCCCCGTGCCTCGTTATTCCCTGCCGTTGCGGCTGCGCTTGGGAGCCCCCGTCCTCTGCCTCTGTATACTTTGGATGCCGCCGCCGCTTACTCGTCTCCTGGAAGCTGGGTCAGCTGGCACGACGCGGATAGAGTCCGAGTGTGTCGCGATCGTGCTTTCAGGTGCGCACCCGCGTGCCGGCATCGTAGGGCGACGTCGCGGCTGCTGCGACTGCGATTGCGCCTGGAGGGTATGACACTAGCGCGCCAGCAGAAGTCTGTGGACTCAGGTTCTGGCGAGCGGAGCCTCACAGGAATATAGCACGGGCGCGTCTTTATAACCCAAGCACTGAGACAAGAGACGGCCAGGGCGCAGACTCGTGGGACGTCAACTGACCATTCCATCGATCCTGGCCTGGCCCATCCAGGGCCCAGGACGAGCCAGGCCACTGGGGGGGACTTCTCCTGGGGCGCGTTCTGACCAGGATTTCGAGGAGAACCAAGCCTTGGTGACGAGGGAATGGCGGCGGTATCGGTAGATGCCTCTCTTCGGACGCCAGGATCGGTGAGGTGGCCTAGTTGACGCCCCCGAACAAGGCCGAACGGAGGAGCCTGGCGGCGGTGGGCAGGCCACAGGCGGGGGCAGGGCATCCCAAGGATACTGGCGGCAGCAGAGGGCAGCACCGTGGCCAGGGGCGGACGGGGACGGCGGCGCGGGCAGCCGTCGTCCGCCCTGATCCTCCTCATCCTCTTCTGCTTTCCTCGCAGCCTGGTTGTCACGCCCGCGCCTTCCCGCCCTCGCGGAGGAAGGGGAGGGCAGAGGAGGGCGACGGGGGAGGAGGGAGCAGGAGGAGGAGTAGGAGGAGGAGGAGGAGGGCGTAGTAGGTGGGGGTGGAGGATGAGGAGGAGGAGGAGGAGGGAGGGGAACGGTGGGTGACGCTGATCATACATGATTGGGGGGAGAGCAGGATGATGGTGATGATGATGATGACCAGACTGATGATGATGATGATGGTGGTGGTGGTGATGATGATGCTGATGGTGATGCTGCTGCTGATGATGATGATGACGATGATGATGATGATGATGATGATGATGATGATGATGATGATGATGATCATGATCATGCTGATGGTGATGCTGATGATGCTGCTGCTGCTGATGATGATGATGATGACGATGATACTAGCCAGCCGCTCTGCGGTTGATCGGGAGTTTCTGTATATAGACGAAGGGGCGTGCGCTTTTCGTCAGTCAGCCAGTGAGCCAAGCATCCAGAAGGACGCGTGGGCAGAAGAGTGCACGGTTGGCCACTCTTCGAAAAATAAGGACAACGTGGTTGAGAGGTTACCTGCGCACAGAGACTCGACTGTGAAGCCGAGAGCGGGGCGCAACACGGCTGTGACGCACAAGCCGGTGCGACTGGAAGGCGCCAAAAACAAATGATAAGGGATGCGATTTTGGCAACGTTTTGCAGGTAGAGTCTGGCAGCAGTGTCTAGGTAACGGCGATGTTGGTCCCGCAACCGTTTGGCTGCAGTAGTGTCTAGGTAAGCGTGAAACTGGTCCCACAACCGTTTGGCTGCAGCAGTGTTTAGGTAACAGCGAAACCGGTCCCGCAACCGTTTGGCTGCAACTGTGTTTAGGTAACGGTGAAACCGATCCCGCAATTGTAACCAACACGCACACACCAGGACTCAGTAGAGAACATATCATGCCCTAGCATGGTGCCAACGGGCAGAGTAGTATCCCCGCCCTCCCCTGCAGTCGTGGGCACCAGCCTAAAACCGAGGATAGGCCGGTACGTCCAACATCGAGGTTGAAAAGCTGCTGGCCCCAAAGGTATTCCAGAGTCTTGGAGACGAGCGAATGTGGTTCTGCTGTTCAAAAAAAGGAGCGCGACGCTACCAGAAAACTATCGACCCAGATCGTTGCTTCCAGTTGGTTATAAAGTATTGGCAAGTTTACTGTTGAATCGATTGGTCAACGGAGGGACGGAGCAAGTAATGAGAAACTCACAGTTTGGAGCCCACTGGCTGCTGCTCTGCGCAGGGGGGGCACTCTTTGTCCGCCCCAGCCGGCCGAGGTTTCTGACATAATTGTAACAATATGTCGCGAGCATCGCCATCTGAGGCCAGCAGCTTCCACAAGTTTGGCGGCACGCCATTGGGGCCCGCAGCTTTGCCACCTTCCAGATTGCGTAGGACGTCCTGAAGCTCTCGATCAATGAACATGCCCGTCTCGATCGGGAGCGTGTCGCCGAGGGGCGTTTGGATCGTCGGATACTCGTTAGCAAAAGTGTACTTCCACGGCGTATTCTCGAAATAATATGCCATAGCGTCGGCTCGGTCAGCTGTGTCCGAGGGCGAGCCGTACGGATGCTGAATCGCTGCATGTTTTCCCACTCTTGGAGTCCTCAATCCGCGCACGGCGTCCCAGCTTCCAGAGGAAACCTGCTGCTCCAACCAAGTCCTTGGGTCGTTCCTCGCCGAGTGCCGGATCTGCTTGTTCATGACCTTCTCGCTGTCGTAATCTCCACTGCGACGATATACGGCTCGCCTTTCAATCAGGTCTAAAGTTGTTTGGCTTGTCCATGGGCGTCTTGGCGCTGCTGCCTTGCCGGGGAGAGCGGTAGCCGCTCGAGCAGAACAAGCCCGAAGAGTCTCCGCAGCGGTGTCCAGACAGTCGGAGCTAGCCGCGTCGTTCGCAGCGTTAACGAAAGCGGACACGAATTTCGTTTTATTGTCCAGATTCCCATTGGTAGTCGTAGAAGCATGTGTTGTCGTTTTCGCTTCCGTCCCGAATTCAATAGTCACGTCAGCGATGGTGATGAAATTAAGGCTATTTAGTGGAATCGTGCGATCTGTCCAACAATCTGACATTGCATGCATCATGCTCTGGTCGCGTAAGACATGTTCGATTTCATAGAGGTTGGCAGTGGTCACCGTCTTTTCCATTGGCTTCGTCCCCAGATCTCGGTAGCTTATTTTCCTGTCGTCAGGCTGCTCGAAATAGGTGTTTGAAACCACCATCTCGCAAGAAACGCAAGTCTCCAATAACAAGTGCCTGTTCGAAATGCCGTTCTCGCTGCCTCCAGCCATGCCCCGAATATTGCGAATCGGTGGAGCAGTGATGAATACATGTGGTCCGATAAGGTCAAGACCGCGTGACCCTGGCGCAGCTCAGAGCGAGGCTCCATTCACTCTGCTGCGCCCTGGTCACCAACCCCGATCTACCCCATCAGCTTCTCCTCCACCGCCGCGCCGCGATGGGCCAACCATGGGCGCTGCCGTCTCCTCGGGCGCGGCGTCTTCCGAAAGCCCTGCTCCTGGTGACGCAGACTGGATTGGGGGGGCCGCAACAGCTGCCGCGCCGATCGCGGCGGGAGCGCGGAGGCCGATTACGCCACCGCGCCTGCCGCAAGGTTCGCAGCGCATGACCAGCACGCGTGTTCGGAGCGGCACCCGCAGGGCGTTCCCAGTGATTCGGTGGCGCTACAACCTCGAGCACTACAGCGACAGCACATACCGCTATTGGTCGTACTATCTAAAAAATTGGATCCGGACCGATGAGAATGATTGTGGAATTATTTGGGTTGCTATTATTGCTACTCGTATTACTTGACAATTCTATAACCGTAGCCTTCGTTTTGGGATCCCGCATACTGTGACCGACGTATGTTCCGTTGATTAATCAATTGCTGATCAGATATCGTTACGTATCTTTTGGCAGTCGCACCAGATTTTTCCGATTCCCGTATGACAACACATCGCTACTTACATGTTGGATATGGGCATAAACGTACCCTGGCAGGTCGCTCGCCGCTTGCACATGACATTTGTTGTCGACATCGAGGACAGGAGCGCACCCGGGCAGGCCGCCCGTCGCACATATTACCAGACCATGCGTTTCATTTTCTTTTCATGCGATGTCGGGAACACAGAGTACGACATATGCGAAGCATGCTGCCTATGACTCTCTTGTGAATACCCCTTTTTACAAACTCGTTAATGGCCATAGCATAATGTTGGGGCCTGGCGTGCCTCACGCATCACGTTACAGTATTATGTATTTGATCAGTTGTTGTGGCAACTTTAATAAAATGCCAACTTGATTTGGGGCCTGGAGTGCCCCGTGACTGATTATTCTTTTAGCATGCCTCGAGCAGTTGCCGTCGCAACTTTGATCACGATACGCTTGCATTCAGAGTTTGGGTTGCTACGTACCCGCGCGACTTCAGTTCTTTTGCGCGCGATGAACTGCGTGCCGGTGGAAGCGCCCGCGTCTATTTCTTCGACGCGGTATCTTTATGTCACTTTTTCTATCCTCTGTTGTCCCAACATCGTCACCCGTGGAGAAAGGGAGGTTTTCCAGGTGTGCCGGGGCGTTGGTGGGGGGCGCACCCTGGGCCCGCTAAAGGCGAGCAGATCCCCCAAGTACCCTGCGCGACGTGGTTGGCCCCCCTTTCTCGCTCTCCTAGCCGGGGCGGCCTCGCTTGATGGTTGCAGGGGATGTAATAATATGTTGAGTGGACCTCACACCTCTGATCCCAAGCCCTGTCTTTGTCTCCCGCGGGCCCCAGGCCCACGTGGAACCTGCGGGATTCGGGACAGCATGTGTGTGTGTGTGAAACCCGCTCATCTCACCAGTCTATTCACATCTACTGCTGCCGTCTCGGCTCAGGCATTGGCAACAGGTGCAGCGCCGCTTGCCCGCGGCGCATGAGAAAAAAGGGGTCGCTACCCTCTCCCTTACCTCCCTCTACCTGCGGGGGACCTTGTAGGTTCGACTCTTCGGTCGTCAGCCTACACACACCATGACGATGATGGTGATGATGAGAATGCGGGCGCCGACGCCGATGATGCTGCGTCTGGTGATGAAGACAATGGTGATGACGATGCTGATTTTGCTGATGCTGGTGCTGATGATGATGCTGCTGATGACGATGGCGATGCTTAGAGCGATGATGGTGGTAATGATGATGACGGTGTAATGAAGGTGGTGGTGATGATTGTGTGAATGAGGATGGTAATGGTGATGGGGCTTGTCGGCTGGTGGTCGTGATGCTGGGGATCCGTCGGGTGATGATGGTATTGTGAAGGATGGTATTGCGATGGTGCAAGGCATGGTTATGATGCTGATGCGGGTGCCGATGAGAATGATAGTGGTGATGCAGTTGTAGCTGCCGGTGGTGATGTTGATGCTGGTGTTGGCCGCGGTGATCATGATATGATGATGCTGATGTTGCGGGTGATGACGTTGATACTGATGATGATGAGGGGGCTGGCAACGGGGACGAAAAGGATGCGGAGGAGGAGGAGGAGGAGGAGGAGGAGGAATGGGCATGATGAGGAACCTGCTGAGGACAAGGGTTGTGGGCTGTAAGGGGGGATAATCGTAGGGACGGTGGCGACAACAATGGTGATGGTGAGGGTGGTGGCAATGGCCGTGAAAATAGTGTGAACGGTGATCGTGGTGGCGATGATTGTTGGCAATGATGGCGCAGGGGGGTAAAGCGAAAACATACGTTGGCGAGGGGGAGGGGTAACGCAATCAGTAGGAGGAGGATCCACAGAATGTGGAGGATACGTAGCAGCGAGGAGAAAGAGGAGAAGGAGGAGGAGAAAGACGAGGCGGAAAAGGATAATGATGAGACAACCGAAAAAAGGAGCAGGAGGAGGCGGAGGAGGACGAGGAGGAGGATCAGACGATCGAGCAGGAGGAAGAGGAGGATCAGGAGGAGGAGGAGGAGGAGGAGGAGGAGCAGGGAGCAATGAATAGGGACCAGGGAGCAGGGCGGGCATAAACCCCTGCAGCGGACCAGGCCTTGAGGTTTCTCAGCCCCTCCTTGTCGCCACCGTTCACTCGCCCACCGAAAACCTCCATCAGACTCCGCCCTCTCTTCCTCCTTTTCCTGTGCCTCCTCCTCTCCCTCTTTTTTCCCCCATACCCCATTTTTCCTGTTTCTCCTCCTCCCATTTCCTCTTCATTCCTACCTCCTTCTCCTCCCCCCTGCTCCCCCTCCTGCCGCCTCCTGGCCGTCCAACTATGCATTCCCCCGTTCCCCTTGCAACATCTCTCCTCTGCGCGCCCCCCGCTTTCCTCAAGGATCGGATGAGTATGGGGAAGGGGGAGTGATACGAATGAGGAGGAGCATGATGAGGAGGAGGAGGAGGAGAAGGAGGAGGACCAGTGTAAACCCAAGAGTTACCAGCGATGTTGGAATACATCGTCCCTCCAAACACCCGTTTCATAGACTCCATTTCCACTGAGGGAACTGCCTCGTCGGAGGACAACCATTTGAATGTTCTGAATCATACCAAAACATTGTTCTCGGGATTCCAACCCCACGGATCAGTCTGACTGCTACGTTTTGACGAGCCTAAATCATGCCAGAAAGCCAGTCCTCGGATTTCTAAGCTTTGAATCTTTCCAACACGCCATATTTGGTACGTTGATCATGGGAATCCGTGAAGCTCTTGTAGCCTGGCGCTAAGGCGAGAGCCACATTTTGAAAAGGAGCCGCCCTCTATCCGTGAAACTCTTGCAAACTTGCAAAACGAATGTACGTGGTGCAATGGCGAGAGCCACATTAGAAAACCAGCCGCCTTCAATCCGTAAAATGTTTGGAACCATTTTCAACGAATGTGCCCGGCGCTAAGGCGAGAACCGCATTTTGAATGGGAACCACCCTCAATCCGTGAAGTTCTTGCAATTTGTGAAAACGATTGTGCGCGGCGCTCGGGCGAGAGTCACATGTCGAAAAACAGCCGCCCTCAATCCGTGAAGCCCTGACATTAAAATACGAATAATAGCAATAAGAGTAATTGTAATGATAATAATAATGACAATAATAATAATAATAATAATACTAATGATAATAATACTAATGATAATAATAATAATAATAATAAGCTTCTGTGCGCGGAGTTGGGGCGAGAGCTACATTTTGAAAACCTCTCGCCCTCAATGTGTGAAGCTGTTGTCAATGTTTAAGCTCCAGCGTCGTAAATGGCGAGGAAGTCTCAAGCGAAACGCCCTGCCCGCCCAAAAAAACTGACTTGGGGGTGCGACATGGAGAAGTTATTTAGAAGGAGCAAGAACGGAGGAGGAGTTGGAGCCAAGCCAGGAGGAGGCGGTGGAGACCACGACGACGGCGGCGGCGGCGACGATGACGATGGTACGACGACGACGCCGCGACGGCGACGGCAACGCTGACGAAGGCGACGCCAGCGGCGCCGACAGCAACCCGTACGACGCCGATTGCGGCAGCGGCAGCGATGACGATGATACGACGACGCGGCGACTGCCACGACGTCGATGCCGACGGCGACGCTGACGACGGCGACGCCGGCGGCGGCGGCAGACGACGGCGCGCACGTCTCCCGCAGACCGGCGCCCGCGCGCTGATTGCCCGCCGCCTCGTGCTGGCGATGCGGCTTCGGAGGGCCGCAGTGGTCCCGGCTGGGGGGGCGCTCCCCGAGAGAGGGGAGAGGGAGGACGAGGAGGTTCGAGGAAGAGGAGGAGGAGGATGGCAGGAGGAGGAGTAGGAGGAGGACGAGGAGGAGGAGGAGGAGGAGGACCAGTTTCGAGGAGGGAGGGAGGTGAAGGGAGGTGGGGGAGGTTTGAGAAGGAGGAGGAGGCGGAGGAGGAAGAGAAGTAGGAGGAGGATGAAGAGGAAGGAGAAGCGGAAGATTAGGTCTGGGGGGGGAGTCCGAGGACGAAGTAGGGAGGAAGGAGGGACAAGGGAGGAGGTTCGAGGAGGCAGGTTCGAAGGCAGGAGGAAGTTCGGGAAGAGGGTTTGACAAAGAGGTGTTGGGAGGAGGTTGTTCACCATTGTCGACTTCTAAAGACTCGTGTGATGCCCTGAGGGCGCCAGACAGCGGCCAAGTGGGCAACACATTACCAGGATGGAGCGCCCTCGTGGGGCGTCTTGGGGCCATCCTGGGCCCCTCTTGGGGCTCCCTGGAAGGCATTTGAGCCACGTTGGGCCGAGCTCGGGCGCCTGGGCCGTCGTTGAGGCATTGAAGTCCGAGAAGGCGAGTGGCCCTCCATGCCCATCGATCGCTCGCGAGCCCCCGTGGTCTGCTTTCCGTTCCTGGACCTGGGTCTGCGGACCCGGGCCAATCCGCATTCCGTATCCCGTACGCCCTTTTCGGCTTTACCGGCTCAAAATATGGCCCTCGGACCTCTCTTCGGGTGCGGTTTGACAAGAAATTCGAGGGGAACCCTACCGCGGCGACGAGAAAATGCTCTTGGAGACCTCCCAACAACATTCGAAGACTTCGATCCTCGGTCCTTCAATTCGTACGGCTACGTGTCCCCATCATCCTTCTGCTCGTGCCGACCCCAGATCCGCTCATGATCGGTCTCCGGACCCCTCCCCTTCAAACGGCCGACGAGAGCCTGACAGCGCCCAGCAGAGCAGGTCCCCCAAACTGCCCAGAGGGGCCTGAGACTGCCCAAGAGGGCCCCGAGACAACCCTCAACCCTTATCCCCCCGCAGCCACTTGGCTCAAGCTTAGGCTGTGGCCGCTGTGGCGAGGCCCCAGGCTCCTGCCGCCGATGCCCTCGCGGTTCATGGCGTCGGCGCGCCCCTTGGCGCCGCAGGGCAGGGCAGTGCCAGAGGGCCGCGGGCCCGCTCTTAAGGTCGGCGCGGCATTGCTCAGCCCTCTGCTGGCTGCTGCTCGGCATTCCTCACGGTTATCCTCCTTGTCCTCCTCATCGCACCCCCTTCTCCTCCTCAATGTCCATCCTTTCTTTCTCCGTCCTTCCTCTTCCTCCTCTTCCTCCTCGGCGTCTTTGTTCTTGATCCCCTTCCACCCTGCTCTTCCTCATCCCTTTCCCTCTGCATCCTCCTTCTCCTCCTGCTGATGCTTCTTCTCATCCTCCTCCTCCTTCTCCTCCTCCTCCTCCTCGTTCGTCCATCCGTCCCATCCTTCTCCGTGCTCCTCACGCCTCCCTGCCTGCCTTCAATTCGGCGCTCTTATTCAATACCATCCTCGTCCTCCTCCTCCTCCTCTTGCTGTCCCCCGCATGCTGCAACTGCTCGTAATGCCGAGGGCGAGGACGGGGACGTCGAATATCGGGGATGCTGATGGGATGGGGAGGGGGAGAGGAAGGGGAATGGGGCAGGCTAGGTGCGCTCGCGTCATATCTGACGTCCTACCTTTCACCCCCATCCATTAACATGGCGCAGATATCCTCTGTATTCGCACAGTCGGATGTCGAGCAGGGCCATGGTCGGGACAGAGTACGCGATGCATGGTAGAAAAAGGCATGGCATGGCCCAGAAGAGCACGGCAGAGCGGCGCAAAACACAACACCGCACAGCATGTCATGGCATGGCGTTGGGTTCCTTGGAGGGTAAGTGAATCGTCTTCGAGAGGTCTGGGCCGGTTCGGAGTCGTAGCTCCATGTCTAGCTCCTTGGGCTCCCCGAAAAGCTCCACAGAAGGTGGGGCTGATGGAGTTCATCCGCCGGCTCTGCTTTCAACTTCGTGTTCTCAAAGCAGAAGCGGGGCGCCCGCTTGATAATTCCTGAAAGCGACGACGGCCCAAAGTGGGGGCGGCTTTAGTGGCCCCAAAATTGATGAATCGACACCGGATGTGTAAACACGTCCGATGTTCTTTTTTCTGGTGGGCATGTTCTAGATTTTGGGGCCCAATTGGAAGGACCAAAAACGCTCGCGCTACAGCGGGAGCACGATTTGTAACAACCGTAGGCGCAGAAATGGGGCCAGTGCTTCAGCGGGGGCAACTTTTTGAAATAAAATCCAGCGAAAGCCCATTTCCCAGGAACCCTGTGTGTAAAAAACAGTAGGCGGAGGGGGGCCAGATATCTTCCGGACGTCATCAGGGGAGAGAGGAGAGTAGTATTCATATAGTGTGATTGTAGAGGGGAGATGGGGAGGATAAGCCAGGAGGAGGGGGGGGAATCTTGCCTCGCTCGTTTAGCCCCGTGGACGAGGAGGTGGAGGATGAGGATGAGGCATGAGGAGCCGGTAAGCGACGTCTTCCAGAGAAACTGGAGCAGCTTCTGCGTCGGCGTTCCAGCGCGACGGAAGCAGAGGGATGATGAAGCTGCTGCTGCGGAAGATGACGACGATGATGAGGATGAGGATTCGGACGACGGTGATGATGCTGATGGTGATGATGCTGGCGGCGATTAAAATAAGGATGATGGCGATGATGATGGTGGCGATGATGGCGATGCTGGTGACAATATTAATACTGCTGCTGGTGGTGATGACGATGATGATGCTGATTTTGATGTTGATGGTGATGATGATGCTGCTGACGATGACGCGGATGATCATGATGATGAGGAGGCTGAGGAGGAGGATGGTACCGGATGAAGAGGACGAGGATGCAGAACAGGATGAGGATGGTGATGAGTATGATGATGACGATGATGACGTGGATGATGATGATGATGATGATGATGATGATGATGATGATGATGAAGATTATGCTGATTATGATGCTGATGGTGATGGGGATGAGGACGATGCTGATGGCGATGATGTTGATGATAATGATGATGCTGTCGATGATGGTGATGACGACGATGATGTTGAGATGGAGGTGGAGGTTGATGATGCGGATGATGATGGTGATGCTGATGGTGCTGCTGATGATGATGCTGACTATGGTGCTGATGACTATGATGAGGAGGAGGAGGAAGAGTGTGGTAAAACATGAAGAACATGAGGATGCATATGATGATGATGATGATGATGATGATGATGATGATGATGATGATGGTGTTGATGATGATGATGATGCCGATGATGAAGATTTTAATGATGGTTATGATGATGACCATGCTGGTGACGATGATGGTGATGATGGTGCTGCTGCTGATGATGATGCTGATGATGATGATGATGATGATGATGATGAGTATGAGGATGAGGATGACGATGACGATGATGAGTGTGATGGCGATGAGGATGGTGATGCTGATGCTGATGCTGATGCTGCTGCTGACGATGATGATGGTGATGATGACGTTGATATGGATGTTGTTGTTGATGATGGTGGTGATGATGATGGTGATGCTGATGGTGATGATGAGGGGAGGAGAAGGAGGATAAGGAGGATGAGGAGGAGGAGGAGGAGCAGGATCTCACATTGGGATCTCACCGCTGGCTGTCCTGGCTAGGGTCACGGCGGCCGCGGCGCACAGGCTCCGCTGCCTGCCACGGGTTCCACCGTCGCACGCAGAGTGTGCAGCCAGGCTCATCCAGATCCGGCCACCCTCTTTCGCTCGTCTGACATTCGCCTGCAGCAACTTTTACCCCTCTAACCGTGCGACGGGGCGGCGGGAGCCATACACACTTGGGGAGCACGGGGGGGGTCGAGCACCCCTGGATACGCCGCAGTCCGCCCACTTAGAACTCATCGCCTGGCGACGCGGGGGAGGGGTCCTCGGGTTGGACCTGAGCCCTTCCCACGGAGTGCCCTACGGGGAGGTCGAGAGGCCTTTGCGCCATCCAGTCTAGTGAGTGCGGCCGCGCCGCATCCGCAGCGCATCTGCCGCATAGCCCACGGTTGTTTCCCCCCACTTTGGCTTCTGTTGCCACCCACACTTGCCAGCCGAGCTGCACAGGCAAAGCCATAGTCCGCGCGCAGCCACAGCAACGACCAGCATCACATTGCTCGCGAACTCAGGTAAGGAATCGCCGTCAGGGCGGCCTGCTTTGGAGCGTTACAGGTGAAGAAACTTGCCCGACAGCCGCAGCCAACGGGCCAGCCGTTTGTGTCTCTACCGTTCTACCTTCTTCATTGAACCGCCGCGCGTCTCAGCTAGATAGCGAGTGCATGGCTGGCCGACTTGGCGATGGCCTGTACGGCCGTGGCCAGTAGTTTCGCCTGCCCCAGGCTTCTGCACACTCCTAATTCTTGAGGGTGCGGGGTATGTGAGGAGGTGGTGGGACGTGTGCGGATGAGCATCCCGGACCAGCTGCACAGGCAGAGCTACACTTCCGCGCACAATCACAGCAATTGCAAACCTCACAACGTTTGGTCACTCAGGCAAGGAACCGCTCACAGGGCGACCTGCCTTGGAGCAGCGCTAGACGTGAACAACTTGCCCAGCGACCGCAGCCAACAGGCCAGAATGTCGCATCTCTACCGCTTACCTCCCATCCATTTAACCGCCGCACGCCTGAGCTACTTGCCAAGTGCACGGCTGGCCGACCTGGTGTTGGCCAAGGCGGCCGGGCCAGCAGCTGCGCATTCACCTGGGTTCTTGCGCTCTGACTTTTGAGGGGTCGGGGTATTCGGGGGCGGGATTACATCAGGGCTGGGGGGAGATACCTGCGCCACACCGCCTTCACGATGTGGTCGCTGCCATGGACAACGCAAACCTCTTTCACGCCCAGTGGAATCCCCTTGTCCCACTTCACCTTCTCTCCTTCCACTAACTCGCCTTGTCCTCCCTCTCTCTCCTCTCGTTTCGTCTGCTGTTTCTTTCTTTGCCGCCTCGTTTTCGTTACCCAGCGGGCGACACCAGTCGCCTGGCTTACTAGTTTGACCCCCCCTCCAGGGGCGAATGCCCTTGTGGGGGTTGGGTTTGGGGCGTGGCAGCGTCTGGAGACACCATTGCCAACAGTCACCAGTCACTAGTCACCAGGGTGAGGAGGAGGAGGAGGAGGAGGAGGAGGCTGTGGGCGCTGCTCCCCCCCACCCTCCGCCTGGCTCCGCCTCCGAGGTCGTCGGCGCCGCACTGCTCCTGACCGCCGCTCTCTTGAGGGCCGCCCTGGCCCGCGCCTTCGTCGGGGGTCCGCGCGGCGGGTCCCCATGGGAGAACGGGGTGTGGAGGGGGCGCGAGGGAAGGGCAGAGGATGATGATGATGATGATGATGATGATGATGATGGTGATGATGTTGATGATGTTGATGATGATGATGATGATGATGATGATGTTGATGATGATGATATGATGATGATGATCATGATGATGATGATGATGATGATGATGATGATGATGATGCTGATGCTGATGATGATGATGCTGATGCTGATGCTGATGATGATGATGATGCTGATGATGATGATGATGATGATGATGATGATGATGATGATGATGGTGAGGGGGAGTGACGAGGTGAGGAAAATTGAGTCGGAGTAAGGTGTAAGGAGGAGGAGGAGGAGGAAGAAGAGGAGGTGGAGGAGCAGCAGCAGCAGAAGCAGGAGCCTGGCTCCAGAAGTCCTACGGTCAGGATCTCTTGCTTTGCGTTTCGCGCCGCCAATTCTGGCCCACCATGCTTAGGCGCGTCACGCTATCGGCATTCCGAGTGTTTCATACCTCCAGTACGACGTTGTCTCCGCTTCGATTTCGACCTCAGGGGCGAAACGCTATCAGCTTCTCAGGCATGGCGTGTCGCAAGGGTCCCCGCCGCACGGGTCCTGGGAAAGGGGTCGAGAACGCTGGGGACCTACACCACTTCAAAGTCGCGATGTCAGAGGGTACCCCCCCTCGGGGGGTCATATCTTGGCGTGCTCGCCCCTTCAGGGGTTGCAGCTGTGGGACTCCCTTGCCCCTCTCGTTGCGTCAAAGGCGCCGCCCCCCCTCTCCTGCACCCATTCCGGGTGATGATCATCTCTCTCCTGTCTCATCCTCCACATACTGCTCTGCCTCCCTCCTGCTGCTCCTACTCTTTCTTCCTGCTGGCGACACTATCATTCATCGCCTCTGGCTTTATCCTGCCTGTGAGTCTGTTCGTTCGAGAACATGTCGAGCCTTGGCTTTTGAATCCTGTGCGTCAAGAGCTCGAAGTTGATGAGATGCCTGGTTTCAAGATTCTCTGCGAAACTGGCTTGTTCCCCCACCCGTTCTTTATGGCCCCTCTTCCTCAGTATCGCAGGATTCGGTTGTGTTTGAAGTTTTCCCTGATGCTTTCCAGGCTGGTGGCCTCCCTGTTCCTGACGAGGGTTGCAGGGAATTTCGGGGAAACGCCTTCCTCGATAGCTCTTGTTTCAACTACCTTGTGCGTGAGTTTTCGAGATCTGATTGTGGGGGAGTGTGCCCGAATCAGCTTGGTCAGACGAAGGTTCGCATGTATGGCACTGTTTGTAAGGTGCACCCGCAGACGAGTGCAGCCGCCGAGTATGCCGGTTTGGCAGCCATTTCTTGCGTTTTAGAAGACCGGTCCGAGTTCTTGTCAGATTGCAAAGCGGTCGTGGACCACTACTCTCTGCCTCTCTCGCAGCAGCTTCCCCCGAACAAGCCATACAGTGGCCTTGTCATGCAGTGCCTCTCTAACGCGAGTGGTCGTTTCGAGGGAGTTTCCAATGTTAAGGCCCGTCTCGAGGAGGATCCCAGCATGGACTGGGAAGAGCGTACCATAACACGTGGCAACAATGCCGCGGACGAGGCAGCGAAGGCTGGAGCGAACCTTCATGCCTTCATGCGCTTCTCTCTCGTTCTGTTTCGGATGACATCGCTGTCCTGGTCTGTGTCTCTGAGGCCGTTGCCGACCTGGCCGCCCATCTGTTGGATCGCTGGCCCAGGACCAACCTTGACGGTGTCTCTTGGGAGCGTCCTGCGCCTCCCTGGCAGGTCCCTGAGCACTCCTGGGGCCGGGTCGGCAGCTTTTGGCAGGGCAGTGAGTGAGTCAAGAGCTCTCGTGCTCTTGTAAAGCCCCCAACAGCGAGGTGTGTCTGCAGGCTCAGGGTCTCGCCGCATAGGCTGCGGGATTTGGGCCACAGATGCATCGTGGCAGACTGCAGCGATGACAGTTTTGCTTGCTTCTGCCATCTGCGCTGTTTCTACATCGCTGGTGGGCAACTGCGAGGGCTGGGGAACCTCCGTCAGGCTCAGCCCTCCCCTCGAGCTGGTGGTCAGGTCGATGGAGGCCCCGCCAACAAGAGCTGGTCCTCACACAATGCCCGCAGACGCGAGTTGTGGGTCCAAGCTCAGCAGAGGACTCCATCCGAAAAGGAAGGGAGTCACGGTTGATTTGGACGGCATCAGGGTTTTATCTTCTGGTGTTGTTTGTGGGGGCATTGGGGTTGGGGGTGGGATATGAGTCTCAGGCGCGGGAGGGAGGGCGGCAACCCCGTCTTGGCGGTGCAGCACCAGGAGTTGTGCCGCACTCCCCTCCTGAGGCAGAAGCCTTTCTTTTCCTTTAGCCCAGCCTTCTTATCAGAGTCCGTTGGGCTCTCAGGCAAGAAACAAACGAGGCTCACTTGATGCCCTGCCCCAGGGAGCCAGACCCGCTTATCGAATCAGGGACTCGGATTGACGGCCGCAGCCTGGTACACATGTTGCCGTCAGGTGGTGCCGCCTACAGGCGTGCCACGCCAGCGGGGCTTCGCGCGCGCCAGGCTTCTCGCGGCTCCGTCTTTTCCTTGCTTCTGGTCCCTCCACGCCTCTCGGCGTGCAGGCTCGTGGTGATTCTGGTGTTTCATGCTCGGGCCTCATTGCCCTTCCCGCCGGCAGTCCGCTCTGGCCGCGCAGGCGCGAGTGCCTAGCTTGTGGCGAGTCGGGCCGCTACTGGATTGGCCTCTTCCCTTTTTCTCTCTTGGAACGTCACCACCGGTGTGTCGTGCCCTTTGTCCAGCGGCCCAGGCCACACGTGCCCGGTTGTCTGGTCGCGGGTCCCCTGCAGGGGTCCTGGCTCCGCGTGGTTGGCCCGTTCATCGGTCCCACATGTGATGCTTTTTGCGCGTATTGCGCGGGCGTTCTGCGTGTGAGTCGCACGTGTAGCATGCGTGCCAGGCCCCCCTTCTTGCCCCGCCTCTGTCGGATACATCCTGCCCCCCCCCGGAAGACAAAAGGAGCACAGACACGTGTGACAGCCTCAGTACATGCGGGCGTTTTCCGCAACTACTTAGAAGAACACTCTCCCAACAAAGTGTGGCCTTTTTTTAGTGCCAAGGTCGATGCTGGGGTCGATGCTGGTGGAGGCGCATGCGTTGACGTCGGGGTTGGCATTGGCGCTGCCGTCGATGCTGGTGTCGATGGTGTCGTCGTCGATGCTGGCGTCAAATCTGCTGGCGCTGGCTCGGCCAGGCGGCGGGAGTCGGTGAGCTGGTCGATGATGGAGCCGGCAAGCTGGTCGGTGTGGCGGTAGCAGGCGTGCTACAAGACTGTGTTGTTTTCGGTGAGCTGGTTGATGAGGGAACCGGCAATCTGGTCGGTGCGGCGGCAGCTGGCGACAAAACAGCGCTATTTGTTCGAGAAGTGAGCTGGTCGGAGCGGGAGTCGGCGTGCTGGTCGGTGCGGGAGTCGGTGAGCTGGTCGATGAGGGAGCCAGCAAGCTCGTCGGTGCGGCAAGCCGGTGCAGGAGTCGGTGAGCTAGTCGATGTGGGAGCCGGCAATGTGATTAGAGCGGCAGGCCGCGATCGGGTCGGTGCGGGAGTCGGCTGATCGATGCGGGAGTCGGTGAGCTGATCGGCGCCGGAGTCGGCGAGCTGGTCGGCGCCGTAGTTGGTGAGCTGGTCGAAGAGTGAGCAGGCAAGCTGGTCGGTCCTGCAGGCTGCGATCTGGTCGGTGCGGGGGTCGGTGATTTGGTCGATGAGGGAGCCGGCAAGCTGGTCGACGCGGCAGGCCGCAATTCTGTCAGTGAAGATGCGGGAGCCGGCAAGCTGGTCGGCGAGATAGTCGGCGAGCTTATCGGCGCCAGAGTCGGTGAGCTGGTCGGTGCGGGTGTCGGCGAGTTAGTTGGCGCGAGAGTCGGTGAGCTGGTCGGCGCGGCGGCGCTGGAATCGGCGAGCGAGTCCCTCGTGCAGCAGGGGTGTCTGGCGGATAGGCCGGTACACCCAAAACAGCGGCCAAAAATCACGATCGTCAGCAGTCCCATCATGGTAGCAAGATCCCGCATATATCAGGAAATGTCGGATGCATGTGGTGGAGGAGTCGACGACATAGCCGCATTTGTGGTGGCGAGGCCGGCGCACCCTGAACCGAAAACACAATCGTCGCCAACCCTGCCGCAGTAGCAAAAGCCCAGATAGAACAGGAATGATCGGATGCATGATGTGGAGAAGCTGTTGGAATAGCTACAATTGCACACCTTCCAGACACGAAGAACAACCAACGCCTTCAGACCCACTGTGAACCTGTGATGGTCAGTCAAAGGAGGAGAAGCGGAGCAAGTAGAACTGCAAGTTTGTGGATAGAGACAGGTGTCGAATGGGTGGGACCACATCTCATGCCAATGTCGGCGAGGACGCTCGGTAGTAGCAAAGCCTTGTCCCTTGCGCTTTCTTCGTCCAGTCGATTGCAGGCTCGCCAACGCCCGCATGTGGTCAGAATCGCGAACTGCTTCATGCAACATCTGGTTCGTATAGTGCCCAATGTACTCTGCCGTGCAACCGTCGTTGTAACGAACGTGCTGTGTAGTGCGATAGGATACGTAACTCACAAGCGCAACTCGCCCCAGGTGGCCGTCGGTCACAGGGATTGTCAGCATCCAGTGTTCTTTGCTGTACGTCGAGCTCGCCCCCGGGAGTCGGGTGACCGCACACATTCGGCTGACACCACATTGAGTGTAGTGTTCGAAAGAATCTTGAGCACCTCGTGGGCAACCCAACCTGCAACCCCTATGCGCCTGTCCTTTGTCCAGCGGTTGAAGACCGTGCCGAGCATCGCAGCCCGTATCCTCGGCGGAGCGATGGTCTTCAAACGTTGTAGTTTCCAGTTGATGCATCGCGCCGTCCTGCCCGGGAGCCCCGCAAGCCGCCAGCGGCCCATCTTGTGTCGCAGCCGCATTTTTGGGCAGAAGCCGTCCTAGGCCAACAGCTGGCGGGCAAACCAATTCTGCGTGCTTTTGCGCGGTAAGACCGTTCCGCGTTTTCCACTAGCGACCCCACTGGGACGCCTGTGAGGTCACTTCTGGCCTCCATGCTGATCTTGCGGCCAGCTGCAGCGCGGGCGAGTCTCTCTGAAGCCGTGGAGGCTTGAGAGGCGTACCATCCACTCCAAAGGAGCCAGTCAAAAAAGGCCGTGTTCCGCATTGCCATGGTTAAATCGTGCCATTGCCGTGTTACGCATTGACATAGCTAAATTGTCTGCTGCTTGCCCCGCCTTTGTCCGACAGAGCGGGGCCAGCAGCAGACGGCGAGTCACATCAGGCACATCTTTCGCTTTGATTGGGGGGAACAATCTTACTTTGCACCTACCTGTGTGCCCACAGCTGCATCGACGCCCGCATCGACGACAGAGCAATGTCTGCGCCCACGCTGGCACCAGCCTCAACGCCTGCACCAGAATCGCAGCCATTACCGACGCTGGCACACATTCCGGCGTCTATAGCAGCGTCGACGCCAGCATCGAGGACAACGGCCACGTCCGCACCTACGCCAGCACCAGCGCCAGCCAGCGCCAGCACCTACACCAGCATTGGTGGCAGCATCGACGCGGGCACCAACTCAGGCGCCAGCGTCGACGTCAGCATCGAGGACAGCGTCAGCGCCTGCACCTAGACCGGCACCAGCGCCAGCGTCTACACCAGCATCGACGCCAGCATCGACCTTGGTACCAACTCCGGCGCCTATGCCAGCACCAGCGCCAACGTTTCCGACGCCAGCGCCAGCGGCATTACGCAAGCATTGACGTCGACGCCAATTCCAGCGCTTCTGGCAGCATCGCCACCAGCGTCGACGGCAGTGCCAACGCTGGCGCCAACGCCTATGCCTCCACCAGCATCAACGCCAGCATCGGCCAGGGCACCAAAAAAGGGCCACACTTTGTTGGGAGAGCGTTCTCCTAAGCAGTGGCGGAAAAATGCGAGCGCCTGCACCAGAATCGCAGCGGTTACCGACTCCCGCACTGACCTGTTCACCGACTCCCAGCCCGACCAGTTCAAGACTGAGGACTCCCGCACAGACCAGCTCACCGACTTCACACCGACCAGCTTGGCGGCTCCCGCACCGACCAGCTCACCGACTCGTGCCGACCAGCTCGGCGCCTTCCGCACCAACCAGCTCACCGACCCCCACACCGAACAGCTCGGCGGCTCCCGCACCGACCAGCTCACCGACTCGTGCCGACCAGCTCGGCGCCTTCCGCACCAACCAGCTCACCGACTCCCACACCGAACAGCTGGGCGGCTCCCGCAGCGACCAGCTCTCCGACTCCCGTGCCGACCAGCTCGCCCACTCCCGCGCCAGCCCACAACATGACAGCAGCGAATTTCGTGACATTTCCGTTGCGTCTTGCATTGTGGTACGATTTATTTAATCGCTTGATCATTCCGCCGGCCTTGGAGTCCTCTTGAAGGCCTCTTGGGAGCCTCTTGGGGGCCTCTTGGGGACCTCTTGGGAGTCTCTTGGGGCTCCTTGGGGCGTCTTGGGGGCCCCCAGGGCCTCTTGGGGGGCTCTTGGGGGCCTCTTGGGGCGGGAGGGGGTGTAGTCGATTGCGGCTCCCCCCTCGGAGGCCACGATCTTCGTGAGGGGTGTCGAAAGATGGCCCTCCCCTGGAGTGCTCTAGAGGGGCCTGACCGTGACCTGACAGAGACCTGGCCGGGGTATTTTTCGTCCAGGGGCCCCCAGGGGCCGCTCCGCGTCCGTAGCCATTTTGGCTCAAGCGGTTGCATGCCTGGCGCTCGGTCGGCCGTCTTCGGAATGGACGCCTCGCGCCTCGCTAGAGGGGCTCTCTCGGTCGCGGATGGCGCTGCTTTGGTGGCTGCTGCTGTCCGTGCCGCGGTGCTTGCCCAAGCGCCGCGGCGCACGGTCGCTGCCGTGACGCGGTCGGCGGTGTCGGCGGTGATTTTCGCCGCCTCGGCGCCGCCCGACACGTCGCCTGGCCGCGACGTCGCCGCGCAGGAGGACAAGAAGGAACCGACGCCTCTGTCGGCAGCGAAGGTGGAGCGCCGACGGCGTCGGCGCCGCCGCGTGGCGGAGGCGCGCGCTGCGGGGCGCGCTGTTCCGCCTGCTGCTGAAGGAGGCGCTGGTGCTGCTGTCGCTGGAGCGGCGGACGCGGGCCCTCGGCCCGCGGCCGCGGCGGAGGCTGCTGCGGTCGAGACGGACGTGGACGACGACGAGTGGGCTGACGGCGTCGCGTGGCAGGCCGCGGTGCGGCCGAGCCCCGACGTCGTGCCCATGGAGATGGAAGCTGCTGGAGCTGGTCCTGGCGCTGCGGCGGCGGGGGCAGCGGAGGCAGTCGTCATCACCGCCGAGGGGCGCCGCCTGCTGGTGCGCACCCTGGGCGTCCCCCTGTCCACGCCCGACGAGTAGCTGCTGGCTGCGTTCCGGAGTCGACGTTCGCCTTCGGCCTGCCCTTAGTCTCCTCGTACTCGGCCGGGGGTGGGGCGGCGCCCCCGTTGTATATAGCCGCTAGACTGTGCCGTGTCGTGATGTTCGTCATGGAGCACTGTAGCAGTCTTCTCCTGAGGCCCCTTGCTCCTCATCCTAGCAGGCGGGCGTCTGATCCTCGCTTTGAGGCCTTCGATGGCTCGTTAAGGTCAAAAAAAAGGCCGCCCCGCGCGCGGTACGATTTATTTTTTCCGAACCGGAGTCGAGGATACCCGCACCGACCAGCTCACCGACTCCCACACCGATCAGCTCGGCGGCTTCCGCCCCGACCAGCTCGCCGACCCCCGCGCCGACCAGCTCGGCGGCGTTCGCACCAACCAGCTCACCGAGCCCGTCATCGGCCGGCTCGCCGACTCCTGAACCGACCAACTCGCCGATTCCCTCGCCGAGCGGCTCACCGAGTTTCGCGCCGACCAGGTCGCTGAATCCCGCATCGGCCAACTTGGTGGCTCCCGCACCGACCATCTCACCAACTCCCGCGCCGACCAGCTCGTCGACTCTGCGCTGTCCAGCTCACTGACTCCCAGCGCGTCCAGCTCACCGATTCCAGCGCCGACCAGCTGCTCATCGACTCCCGCGCAGACCAGCTCACCGACTCCCGCACCAGCCAGCTCGCCGACTCCCGCGCCGAGTGGCTCGCCGACTCCCGAGCCGACCAGCTCGCCGACTCATGCGCCGAGTTGCTCGCCGACTCACTCGCCGATCAGCTCGCTGACTCCCGGCTCGGCCAGCTTGGCGGCTCCCGCACCATGCAGGAACATCTTGTGCGTTCTGCTCGAGGCGCCAGGGAAGTACGACGCTGCGCACCTCGGCGGGGACGAGTGAACCAGTGAGAGCTGTCTGCCAGTACTCCAGTTTTCCCTTTCCTTTTCCCCTCACTTCCTGGCCTCCCAATTCTTTGTGCTCTGCATGCGTATTCTTATTGAATTGGTGGTCTCAGGGCTACCGCAGGCATGGGCCGGGCCCCTTCACGGCCGCCGGCGGCCGACCCCAGCCATTGCGCTGGGTTTGCCCGCCTGCCGCCATGGTGGGCCCTTGCGTGGCGCGAATCCGCCACTCAGCGACGTCAGATACAGACCTGACTTGCCCAGACTCTCCAACTGAGTGCTGTTATTGCTCTCGTCTGCCCTTCGTCGTTTTTGTTCTCCCCCTCTTTCCCCCCTGTTCTGTCTTTGTTGGGTTTGCTCCTACCCGCGAGGGTCACTGGTGCGAGTGCGACCAGCAATGCCTGGTCGGTGTACGCACGCGCGGGCTCCTCTTCACGCGCCCGTGTGGGTCGGGGGGTGGGGGGGCGGTGGCAATTTTGCGGTTCGCCTCCAGCGAAGCCTGTGGTGACGTTCGCAGGCACGTGCCTCGCGCCCCTGTCCTGGTGTTGCTTTCTCGTCTCCTCCTTCTGCCGCTTCGCTTTTTGCATACTCTGCGCACGGTCGCGTGCGAGTTGGCAGCCGCCCTCCGCTTCTCTCTTTTTCACTGCGGCGCACCCCTGCTGTGGTGACACGCAGTCAGTGAGGCCAGGGCCCAAGAAAAAATGTAGCCGCACCCTTTCCGGGGCGTCGATGCTCAGGAGGACGATGGTGTACGCGTGCAGTATACTGCGCGCGTCTTTTGATGAGCACTCGGCCCCTTCAGAAGGGGTATTTGGCCGAGGATGTCAACAACAAAACTATCCTCCCTCTCTCCTTCATCCACTTCCTTCTCCTCGTCCTCATCGTCTGCCTCCTTTTTCCTTCGCCTTCTCCCTTTCTCTTTCTGTCCCTATCCCTTCTTATCCTCCTCTGTCTCTTTCTCATACGCCTCGCTCTCCTCCTCTCTGCTCCTCCACCTCCTCCTCCTCCTCCTTCTCCTCCTCCTCTGTCTTCTTCTTCTCCTCCTCCTCCTCCTCCTCCTCCTCCTCCTCCTCCTCCTCCTCCTCCTCCTCATCCTTCTCCTCCACCTCCTCCTGACTCCCCATCCCTTCTTCTGGGCCTTTCCGCATCGCGATCGCCAAGCGTACACGCCGTGGTGCGCCCACCGCGCAGGTTCGGAGCTGACAGCATCTGGGCGGCCCCGCGGCCAGACGCCACGGCGCTCCGCGGCCTCAACTTCGACTTCGACGTGGCGGCACCCAGTCGGGACAGGCAGAGGCGCACGCAGGAGGAGGAGGAGCCAGAGGACGAGGCAGCGCCGGTCCCACAGGATGCTCGGGCGAACGGTCGAAGCCCGGGGAGGAGGGAGGCAGGACGGAGCACGCTTCGGCTCTCTGGAGGTCTGTTGGCCCTTCGCGGGCATTCAGCCACCTCCCAACTGGCGCCTTCTGGAGGACCAGAATGGATGCAGAAAGACAAGGCAACGAATACCGACATCATTCCCTGCCCATTTTGAAAAGGTCTCGCTGTCGGTGTCACCGCGCACGTGGTCCATTTGAGACAACACTTCGCCTGGCCAACAGTGGCCGCTGCCAGCTTTGGACAACATTTGTTTGTGGGCATCGTGCTAATTAAATCCTTACCTGGTTCAGGCGTGCCAGCTTTAGAGGCCTCCCAATAAATGTCAAAAGCGCTCCGTGGCCATTTAGGCTCAAGGTCGTCTGCTGAGTGCCACCAGGAGTCCCCTCTCCTAACAGGGACGAGGGCTTCGGCATGGAGAGCGGCCCCGCGAGAATGAATACGGAGCCCTTGTTGGGAGCAGGCAGGCCCCAGTTGAACGCCGATGTATGGCATTGGATGCTGCGTCGCCTGGCACCTCTGGCGTCGACATTGGGCAACGACTCTGACTTGAGAGGAGCAGTCTTCACCTACCAACTGGCGTACGCTCTGGAAGAACTACGGTACCGCTGCGACGTGGTGTCTGATCGGGGACATCGTCTTCGCCCTGATTCAACCGTCAGTTCTGAATTGCCAGTGTTGGCGTGCTTTGGTCGTTTCATCTGTGGGCGATTATGGTCTATCAGTGTTGTTGAGGTGCCTTCCCGTGACGACGTTGAAGCCAGATGCGCGAATATGTACGCCTTCGATGTTTCAATATAAGTTGTGTGTGGCATCTGTACGTCAAGACTAGGAGGTGCAATCACAAAACCCGCGGGGCGCATGCTTGACGTGCAAAGTAGTTCCGTGCCATGCTGCTGGTTTGCATCCTCTTTTCGTCGCAGTGCACGCTGTTTGCTGTCCACTGCTTTTTTGTTTTCTGATCTCTGTGAGCCGTGTCCCTGAGGTCGGTTGCCTAGTAGATGTGATCACGATTGTAATGACTCTGGTCGAAAGGCTTGTGGCATCGTATTTTCACGAGTTGAGGGAGCAGTCAGGCGCCCTGCAGACTCTGCCCGACGCAGCGGCCGATGGCTACCGCACAGTGAGGAGGCAGGTGGGAATTGTCTGTCTGACATGTCAGCGATCGTCTCCAGCTTCGTTTTGTTGCAGACTTGCGGGGAACGCATCTACTGGACCCCGTCGGCTCGAAGGACCACTGGAAGGTCGCGCGTCCGTGCCATGGCAGTCAGTGGGATGTGGCAGAGCCAGTGCTGACCACGTTCAACCAGGCTCATGTCGAGGGGCGCCGGCTGCTGGAATTAGACGCGCGCCTGGTGCCCTACCGAGTCGCTGAAGCGGGCGTACACATCAGCTCCCAGAGAGTCGGCCAAGCACGAATGGCCAAAGAGGCCTCGCCAGGTCGTGGGCCCCGAGGTTTTAAGCCTCCCGGGTGCTCGATCTCCGAGAAGAGAGGTGTGGACCGCCTGTTGTTGCCCTCACCAGTTTCGAAAGAAAACATGCGTGCACAGCGACCGGCGGTGAACGAGGGCGAGCGCGCGGCGATGCAGAACGACGCGACTGGCAGTGGCGCATCCCAGAGTTCGGCAGAGACGGTACATGCGACATGAATTTCGCTCGATCCCGGCTACTCAAGTTTCATCATCATCATCGATGGCGATTGCAGCTGCCACTTGTTGCATCGTCAAGGGCAGCTCGTACGTAAGTCCCCTCGTCATGCGCGACGCCAGGTCGAGAAAGTGTTCATTGTCGCAGAGAACAGCAGTGTCGAGCTTGGGGCTTGTTCAACGTATCTGTATCCTTTTGAAGTTACCATCCCCAAACACAGCGATCAAGGCCGTAGCAAAGCGACCTTTCATCATAACTGAGGGTCCTGAGGAGAATAATGCTGGAGCGAATTCGTTATCAGCCACGCTGCGTTTGGAGGATTTGGTGATGTCGCGGAGGCACTGTTACCCTACCCGTGCAAAGAATTTACGGTGAACAGCAGTGGAGGTGCAGCCCCATCTGACAGTGCGTCGGTTGTCATGACGACCATTCGGTAGATGGCCCACCCAGGAAACTGCCAATACCGCACCCAAGTGCTGCGCATGTTCAGAGCTAGACGTTCGACAATGTTATTTCCTCAATGTGCGGCCCAGAGGTACCGACCCTTTCCTGGGGCATTAGAAATGGCACGCGCCTGCCCAGGTTCATACAACAAATGCAGCACGCAAGCATCGCAGGAAATCGTCAAGAAGAGGAATATGAAGTCGGATCCGAGGAGGAGGAGGAAGGAAATTGACAAGCAGAGAAACGAACAGTGAAGGATAACCTCGGGGTTGTTGGGAATGAGGTGCGACAGCTGTATCGCAGTCGAGCGAAGATGGGGTTGCCACACCTTGCCATGTGTCTGGCGCAGGACGGTGTTTTCAACCTGGCGATTGCAATTGTACAGAAGTTCAGCCGCCAATTACTTGAGGATTTCTCGAGCAAGCCTGCCGGTTTAAAGAATCTGAGGACAATTTGAGTACGGCGGGTCTCAATGGTGACAGGATGTCTCACGCAAATCGGATGTTGTTCCAGGAGCGTCGTCCAAATCATTAGAACCTACCTGGGTTTCGAGTGTTTGATCTGTGCGCGTCGACTGCGGAGTCGCGATCTGCACGAGGGGTGCATCCGATGTTTGGAATGTGCAGGATGTTCCGAATCACACGGCAAGACAAAGGAACGGCGGCTTCACACACTTGCTTCTGAGCTTTACTCCCTCGGGACGGTGCGTCTGATGATGCATCTATAAAATCGAAGACGCCTACGGCGAATCACCGCCGCCCCCTGCCTTCTGGGGAATCGCCTATGTGGCCGAGAGTTGGGCTAGAGCTTGGCCAAGCTGTCGGACCATGAGTTCCCCGAGTCGGTTTGGAAATTTTCTCGGAACACGTGGGGGAGAATGAACATGAAGAGGAAGAGGAAGAGGAAAAGGAAGAGTGGGAGGATGTGGCTTCTTTGGGGTCTCTTGAGGCACCGAGCTTCTTGGGGGTCTTTTCGAGGCCTCTTTGGGACCTCCTATGGCCTGCTGGAGGCCTTTGGAGGCTTCTTGGGGGCTTCTCTGAACCGACTTGGGGCCTCTTGGGGTGCTTCATGGCCGTCGTGGAGGCCATCTTGGGCCCTGGGCAAGGTGTTTCCCGAATCCGTTTGACAGCTTTCGGGGAACACATGGAGGAGGAAAACGAGAATGAGGAGAGGGATGGGAAAGGACGAAAAGGTCGAATAACGATAGGATGAAGAGGAATATCTCTTCGTCCCTGCATTTCTATGGCTTGCGCACTGTTCTTTATCTCGCCCTAGGAGGGGGCATCTTGGGAGCCTCTGGGGGCACTCTTGGAGACTCCTGGGAGTTTCCTGGGAGCCTCTTGGGGGCATCTTCGGAGCCTCCTCGGGCCTCCTGGGGGCCGTTGGGGGCTCCTCGGGAGCTTCTTTGGCCGTCTTAGGGCATTCCTGGCCCGTCTGCTGGCGTCGGAAGCCGTTCTGGGCCGACTTCGGGTGCTCCAGGTCCGTCTTGGAAACCATCTTTGGCGTCTTGAAGGCCTCTTGGGCCGTCTTGGGGGTTGGTGGCCTCTTGGGCGATCTTGGGGCGATCTTTGGGGGCTATTGGGCCACCTCGGGCCGTCGGAAGGCCGAACAGAAGCAAGTGCCCGAATCCTTCAATAACCGACGCACAATTAATGATTTTGGCCTCTTCGGGCCTTCCTGGAGAACCTCTTGGGGATCTCTTGGGCCGTCTTGGAGACGTCTTGGGGGCCTCTTGGGCCGTATTGGGCCACCTTGGGGCCATCTCAGGCCGTCTTGATGGCCTCTGTCTGACGCCGTCGAAAGCTTTCTTAGGGGCCTCTCTAGGCCGTCTTAGGGCCCTCTTGGGGTGCTCCAGGGCCGTCGTGGAGGCCATCTTTGGTGTCTTGAAGGCCTCTTGGGCCGTCTTGGGGCCGTCTTGGGGGCCTCTTGGGTCGTTCTGGGGCCATCTTGGAAGCCTCCTGGGCGACTTTAGGGCGATCTTTGGGGGCTCTTGGGCCGTCTCCGGCCGTCGGCAGGCCGAACAGAAGCAAATGCCAAAATCCTTCGACATCTGGCGTAACAACAATGATTTGGGCCTCGTTGGGCCTTCCCGGAGGACCTCTGGGAGGTCTCGTGGGCCTTCATGGAGGCCTCTTTGGCTGTCTTAGAGGCCTCTGAGGCTGTCTTGGGCCGTCTTGGAGGCTTCTGGGGCGAACTTGGAGGCAGACGCTCGCTCTTATCATAAGGCGTCTTGGGCTAGGATCCCCAGTATCGCGATTTGTTTGAGGATGTCCCGAGCGAGCGGAGACATTAGTGGCGCAGCGTGCGAGCCATTCCGGGTGGCCGGTTCGCTGGGCCAGAGCCGCAGGGGAAGTTATTGAAAAATACCAAAGCCAAACCAATAGGATCTAGCACGCCAGGCACTTTTGTGGCAAGACCACAGGGGGCGGCGGATCGAATGGTATGGTCTTCGGCCCATCCCGCTACCGTGCCTGGATTGTGGGTCAGAGTCATCAGGGATGTTTCTTAGCGCTTCTTTCGGAGCACTCTCAGACCTCTTGGTCTTAGGGGGGCCTTTTGGGCAGTCTTGGAGGCCTCTTGGGTCATCTTTGGACCCTCTGGGACCGTTCTGGGGCTCTCTTGGAGGCATCTTGGGCCGTCTTGGGAGCCTGTTCGAGTTAAGCCGTCATGGAGCGTCGGGAAGCCAAAACAGCGAAAAAGCCCAAATCCTCCGAACACCCAATGGTCATCTGTGGTTTTTACCTTTGAGAGCCCTGTTGGGAGGCCTCTTGGAGGCCTCTGTGGACGTCTTGGGGACCTCTAGTCTGAAGGCCATCTTGGGCGTCATGGAGCGATATGTCAGCGAGTCTAGGCTCTCTTCGACTGTGTGGGTGGCCTCCTGGGGCTCTATTGGAAAGTTTTGGGGCCCTCCCGGGCGAGGGGACCTCTCTGGAGGCCCGCGCTACTCACACCAACGGCGCCCGAGAGTGCCCAGGAGCGCCTGGGAAATCGGGCCAACCAAAGCCTGTACCTCCCAAGCTGCGTGAACCGTGGGGCACTACACTACGTGCTGAGGGCACGGTGGGGAATGTTTCTGGTGGTAAGTACATGATTATTTTCCCCCCGATCCAACCAAGAATTATTGATTGGTGCTCGCGGGGTTCCTCAAATGCATCTAGGGAGATGCATTTCCACCGCTCCGCACATTGATGGCCCAGGTCACTTGCGGGGACGCGCCGATAAGCGGGGGCGCCTTCACTCTTTTCAGGGGGCTCGGCGCGAGGGTGGCGCGGAGGTGATCGCTCTCCTGCTGCTCCGTGCGGCTCGATTGCTTCGGCGTCGGGCCCGGCTGCTGGCGCAGATCTTTTCAAACCTGGTTATGGGCACAGTCTGGCCAGTGTTCTGAGCCGCGTCTATCGCAGCGACGAGGGGACCCCCAAGGGCGAGAAAGGGAAGGATCATAAGGGTAAGGAGGAGGAGGAGGAGGAGGAGGAGGAGGAGGAAAGACGCTACGAGCTCCGCTCAAAGTGTGCCAAACCCCCAAAGAGAAAAGAAGAGGTAATTTGGATTGCCGTCCAACCGCGAGGAGGAGGAGAAGCCTCCCGACACGCCGGTGCTGTACGAGTGGCCGGGCATCTACGAGCGGCTCACGCATGCGCAGCTCAAACCAGGGCACCTTGTGCTGCGGAAGTGGCTGCAGAAGGGCAGGGCTCAGGGCTTCGCGTCGGTGCCGTTCACTTCCGCCGTTCGGGCAGCCCCCCATCTCCCCCTCTTCCTCCTTCCCCTCCGTCCCCTCCGTCCCCTCCTCCTCCTCCTCCTCCTCCTCCTCCTCCTCCTTACCCTTCTGCTCCTCCCCCTCCTCCTCCTCCTCCTCCTCCTCTTCTTTTTTTCCGTCGCCATTTTGGCTCAAACCATTTTGGCTCAGGCCATTTCGGCTCAAGTAACATTTTTATCGCGGTGGCGAGGGCCATGCCAGCTCGGAGGGCACAGAAACCTGCCCAAGGCAACCCTCGGGAGCAGTTCCCTTTCGTTGCTCACATACCCATTGTTTCTCGCATGACCGCACATTGCATTTTGCACCGTATTTTGACAAGATTGCGCGCATCACGCCAGTCTGTCCAGCGATGGGCCGTCGCCGCATGGACCGTGTTTCTCGTGAGGCTGAAAGGTGTGACATGATACCGTCTGCTCATCCTCATCGTGGGCAATAGCGGGGTCATCAGCGACGTTCCAGTCCGAGTTCAGATCGTGGCTCTAGTCGACATGTCAGTCGTGATCGCAGCCGATCCGAGTACAGCCAGAACTCCAAACACCAGTCCTACCGTGGTGAGAGTGCGCCATCCCAGGTACCCACATGGCTCAGTTCCCTCGTGAAGCAAGTGCGGGACACCAACAGCTTGATCAAGCAATTGGAACAGAACATGCAGAAGGAGGTGGACAGCATGGGCAGCGCGCTTTCCACGCACGACGCGAATTTCATGGCCGTCCACACGCGGCTCGCCCAGATGGAGGCGGCCCAATCGGGCGCAGTCACCGCTGCGGTCCAGGCCGCGATCGACACCAAACTTGAGAGCTTCCGGTCCGAGTTGGCATGGCTGAAAGCTCGCCCTGCCCCATCGTCTACGGCAGTCAGCAGTGCACCGAGTTCGGCTGGCGGTCAGCGCCAGCAGGGTTCAGGGTCCACCGGAGATCAAGACAAGGCGTTGGGTCGGCACGTCCCCGCGCGCCCTGACCGTTCAGCAGCGCCAGATGCACTGGGACAACGTTGTATCGCCGCAGATTCCACAATATCTACGTGATGACGCATCTCTGAAAATTGCCCGTATAGCTAAGTCATTCTCCGTCTGATGTTCCATTGAGGAGAAGCGAGTTCCTTCTAAAAGTTGCGCGGTGGCTTGGATCTTACGTGGCATGACCCGCGCGATCAGCGGGCCAGCATCATCCGTGTGCGTGGAGACCCACCTATTGATGTACGTGCCCGCCAACGAGCAGCCAGCCAGGTGCGGCAACAAACTTTCGACCTGCTGAAGAATGGTGGCCGTCCCATAGGCAACTTCCGATTGGGCGTGAATGGGTATCAAGGCTTGGTTCATCTGTCATCACCAGACGACGCGTTCGAACTATACTACATCAAGGGCGCCACCGAGACTGGCTTCCAGTGCGAGCCGAACCTTGAGAGTTTCCGCTACAGGCGTGTGGCTGACAAAGATGTACTCCAACTCCTCGTCGGTGGCAGCGTCGGCGGCTCCTGCTGGCCAATAGGATCTTCGCGGACGAGACCAACGCCCAGAGCATCGTGGACAGCAGCAGCTTCAGCCTGTAATACTTCGGCGCGGGGATTGCCTCGGGGAGCCGCCTGCTTGCATGCTGATTTCTGAGCCAGCCAGCCCTGTCTCTGCCAGCTCTGTGCCTGTCTCTGTTAATTTGTCACCCTCGCCCTCGCCCTGTGGCCCCGTGCAGTCCTCCCCCTTTCTCCCCGCTGAAGGTTCGCTTAATCTTACCGCGCGGGATGCGCGCGCTCTTTTTGGCAGTATTTGGACGTCTCACGAGATGCAAACCTCCTCATTGAAATACACGCGGAGGCTGTTGAGGCGCCACGTCGTTACAATGCTCCAGGAGACCCATGGGATCGAGGAGGACTTGGAGGAGACTCGTCGTCGCCACCCCAGGTTTAAGGCTTTCGGGGGCTTCGCGGAGTCTGAAATGCCAGCGGAGTGGCTATTTTGACCCACGGGAGGCTTGCATCTCAGTTTCAGGTCTTCGAGGTTTTGGAAGTTGTCAAGGGACGCGTTCTGATTGTCCAGATGGTCGGCACAGCCGGCCGGGTGTCTGCAGCTCATCAACGTCCCTGTCGACCGCTCTCTCTCGCACGGCGATAAAGCGTCAGCTTCGGGAACTTGCGCACGCTTCTCTGGGGCCCGCTGCTGCTGCGACTGTGCCGGCGGGGGATTTCAATTTCTGCGCTGCTGGTGAAGGGCGGCTTCGGTCTCGAGATGGCGCAACACTCGTGCGCCCTCCTCGCCTCGCGCGCTACTTCCAGGACCCGTTCAGGATATATGCATCAGTATTTCAACCGCACCGCACTCGTGGAACACTTAGGGACGATTGGGTTACCTCTGTGGGAAGGGTTTTCTTAATTTATACATATATACACCCCCTCCACGGTCCTGCTTGACTACAAGCCCATCTCTGGCGTCGTGTCTAATCTCCTTCAAGACAGTTTGCCAAGCGATCACGTTGCCGTGTTTCTCTCCCTTACTGCTCCGCCTGCGGGCGCCAGCCGTTACACCGCGCCGGAATTGGCGTTCCGCCGTGGGTTCCCCCGCGCTGAACTTGAGGGCATTTTGAGTGATATCGACCCTTCCGACGACCCTGTTCAGAGGACTCTGGATTGTAAAGAGGCCACGTATGAGGCTGCTCGTCGCGCCAATCATCGGCACCAGGTCCGCGCGCCCCAAAGCGTCGAGCCCGCGACTCTTTCAACGAGGGACTCGCAGCTTCTCCGCCAAAAGGAGATGGGGGCCCTTCCACCCGAGTCCAAGCCCGCGACCCCGCCTCCACTCGACCCCTTTCCCTCAGTAGCACCGACAATAAGATTATTGCCGCTGCCCTTGCTCCCCCGCTTGCCAGGGCGTCAACTCACCTTCGCCGTGGCATCCAGCACGGATTTGTGCCTGGCCGCCAAGGACTCGAGCACATCATAGATGACGATACGGCGTTAGCGATTCTCGATGACGTTGAGTTCGAGCAGGAGCGTGGAGCACGCTGCTTCGACCTAAAAGCGGCCTTCCCGAGCTCGCATGCGCAGTGGATCGAGCGCGTGCTCGAGAAGATCGGCGTTCCGTCTTGGCATCGAACCTCAGTGATGAAACTATATCAGAGCGCGAGCAGTTTCGTCAACTTTCGGGGTGCCGGCGGTCATTCATACAGAGTCGAGCGAGGGGTGAAACAGGGGGGTCCGCTATCGGGTTCGCTCTTCGCCGTCTGCTTTGACCCTGTGCTTCGGTGCCTGCATAGCTTCTGCGGCTCCATGTACGACCCCGAGTTCTCGCTCCACGGGTTCGTGGATGACCTCGCAATGGTCGCAGCTGGTGACGTCCGGGAGGCTGTTTTAACGATGGGGCTTCAACATTCGGAAGTTCAAGCTATCTGACCATGGGAAATACTGGGGCATTAATATTGGAACTGGTTCTCGGGGGCTCTCGCGGCAAGGGCCGGCCACCTCCCTTGCCGAAAGAAGCTTCCATATTATGTCGCTCGGCCTGCCCCTCTGTCAGAATGTGGAGGCGCATGACATCTACTGCTTCCCTGTTTGCACGTCCGTCGCGCAGATCGCCCCTCCGTCTGCTCAGATTTTGAAGGTCGAAGCCAAACCCATGACACGCTTAATTCGCGGCCCCAACATCGCGATTATCACTTGCGTGATGCATGACCTGACCGCTTTGGGCTTCGCGATTGATGTGCGAAGCTTAGATCTGCATTGTAAAGCTGCTGCCTATAGAGTCTGCTGTAAGTGCGTGGCCTTTGACCGCAACAAGAGAAAGCTTGCTGAATTATTCGTGGGAGATGACTGGGCGGTAGCATATCGCTCGCAGCAGCTCTACAATAATTCAATTTTGGAGCACCTCGACCTCGACTCCCTGTGGGCGGAGCTGTCTGCAATTCCCGGCATCCCGACCGGCCCGCTGCTCGTCGGTCCGCAGGCGAAAACGATGCGACTATGCCAGTTTCATCGTGCCCCTTCCAGTTGCCGTCTGTCAGTCTTCACGCGTATCAAGCACTTTTATCATGAAGGCTCTGATCAGATCGTCGATCGTCAGCTTATGCGAATGGAGCTTGTCGGGCGTGATCTTCCTCCGTCTATCCTCGCCTCCACCCTCGAGACCATCTCGAATTGCTGGAACGCCACGTCCCGATATAGGTTGGCGACCCAGAGTTGTCTATTTGGATGTGCGGCCATGGGTGGGGGCACTCTCCAGCATTACCTCCGTTGTTCTGCCTTTCAACCTGATGCGATGGCCCCCCTCCCCCTCCTTCCTCCTATTTGGGCCGCAGGTGAGGTTTGATCCTGGATATGCGGGATGCCCCCTTCCCTCTCTCGCCAGGTTGTTCTTCAGATCGGCTTGCCCTCGATTCAACCCTACATGCGTTCAGTCAGCTCCATGGCAGTGGTTTTCCTGATCGTGCGCGTGCGTCTCGTTTAATTCGGGCTCGCGTTCGTTCGATCGCTGCTGCCCCATGCTTCTGCTCGGCGGCTTCTGCGAGGGGGGCCAGTCTGAGTCGAAATTCCACAGGGCCGCGGCTGGGGCGGGATGGCCTACGGCGGGAACGGAGCGCGCTCTCCTTTCTTTTTTTCTGCTCTCCTTCCACGTCCTCGTTTCTTTTCTCTCCTCCTGCTCCACCCTCCGCATTTCTCGTCGCGCCCCGAAGCGGGTCGGTAGGGCGGGCCGGCGTTTCGCCGGAGATGTCTTCACCTGCCATGATCGGTTTTTGTTTGGGGGCCCCTTAGCGGGCATATTCCCCTTCCGAGCGCGGTCTACGCGCCCTCTCCCCCATCCCCCCATCCGCAGCCATCGGGGCTGGAGCTGAGCGCGCGCGCGCGCGTGTGCTTGTCTTCTTTATTTTTGTTTGTTTGTTGTCCGGGGGTCTGGGGGGGGGCCTGGGCCCATGCACTCAACGCGACGCCCCCCCCCCCCCCCCAGTGAAAGAGGTGAGGCCCATGTTGTTTTATATGTTCGGGTGCCGGGGGGGGGGGGGGGGGGGGGGGGGGGGGGGGGGGCGCTGCCCGGCATGGCCCGAGCCAGCGCAGAGGAGGGATGGCTGGTGCGGCGGCAGGCGTAGTCGCGGGAGCCGTGCAGCCCCCGGCGGATGGGGCTCTGCAGAGCCACGCACAGGGGCGCCCCAGGAGCCGCCCGCCCAGGGGCAAAGGGGGGCTGGTGAGAGGGTCCCTGACGCGCTGGAGAACAAACCGCCGCTTGAAATTGGACGCCCGGAGGGGCGGAAAATGCCCCGCCCCCCACGGATGAGGGGGGCGAGGATCTGACCCTCGCCCTGGAGGAGGACCCCCAAGCCGAAAAGGAGGAGGTCGGGGAGGAGACCCCGCCCGAGCTCTTCGCCGAGGAGGACCCGCCGGTTGGCGAGGAAGGAACCGAGGAGAAGGCCCCGCCCCAGCCCCGCGGCGAAGGAACGGGGCGGCGCCGGGAAGCGCGCTGGTCTGGGGCGCGCGGAGAGAAGACGGACTCGCCGCCCAAGAACGGAATTGGCTCCCTGAGCGGGGGCCAAAGAACCGCGGGAGGCAGAGGCGCGACCCCAGTGCCGCCATCGCCATGGGAGCGGGGGGGGGCACCCCGAGCGGCGCCCGCTGCCAATCCCGCTCAGAGCCCCCAGCCGCAGGCCACCCCAGCTGTCGAGACAGCGGCTTTCGGGAACTCTTACTCTTTATTCTGTCCTCTGAACCCGCCGCTAGGGCGAATATCGTAAACATCGTTTTTTTAATAGAAGAATCCGTAAACATTGATTTTTTCAGAAGCGGAAGTTGTCAACAAATTCATCGTTGTTTTCTTTTCCGCCAGCGTAGCACAGCACCAGCGAAGCATTGCAATAACACAGAAGTTGCAAGCATATGCTTGGAAGTGTGCTAAATGACTAAAGCACTGCGTGGGGCGAAGGGTTGGGTACGTGGTGACGGTCGCGCTTCTTGAATGTATCGCCAGAGTTGGGGGGAGCTTAAATTTGCTGCTTGAAGCGTTGCCACGTTGCATGTGTTGCGCGCCTTTGGCAAACCCTGACTAAGCATTGAGTGCGTTGAGTTCCATGTGGGATGGTTTCGTGTTCTTCTTACGTAGTAGGTAGCGGTATGCCCTCCACGAGGGTAGTAAGAGGACGAGGGGGAGGGGGAACAGCAGCAGCGAAGGTCTGCATAATCATAATCGCCACCCTCGTGACCCTCAGCCTTCGAGTCGGAACGAGCGGATGGATGAGGGCAAGTTGGCACACAAATCAGGGTCGGAAACAGGAGGTGCGGACGTCAGGCGAAACTTGTGGATGACCCATCAACGCAACCACTGGGGTAGCACGGAGACACCTCAGGAGCGGGAGGCTGGAATTAAGACGGGCAGAGCCAACGGGATGACAAAAATGAGCAGGAGCAGGAGGGGATGATGAGAGGGGGGGGAGGATGACTAGGTTTGCATGCTTTCATTTTCGCTGCAAGCTAAAGCATGCTTCTGGCGTGCTGGGGTTACTGCCTCGGACCAACGAGCGCAACCACTGAAGCCGTGAGCCTTGACAGCTCACAAGAACAGCCACGTGATGGTATGTGTTGTTCTTCCTCCTCCTCCTTCTCCTCCTCCTCCTCCTCCTCCTCCCTCCTCCTCCTCCTCCTCCTCCTCCTCCTCCTCCTCCTCCTCCTCCTTCCCCTCCTCGGTCTCCTACTCCTCCATTCTCCTCCTCATCTTCCTTCCCGTACTCACCATCTTACTTCTGTGGCTTAGAAGCTTCAGGGCAAGAGAAGATTGGCAACTTGAAACAACGAGCCTGCATGAAGAGTCGCCATGCCGTGCAGTGTGGCCACTCTAGCGAGTGGCACTGCCAACCCTCGGCACTTCAGGCGGGAGCAGGCTTCATCCAAACCACCGGTCGTAAAGTCGACTCTCGAAGCAACCAGCAAGCACCTAGAACTCAAAACCAGATACTGGAAGCTTTCAGCACCTCGATCACACATCGAGGACATGCTTCGAAAACGCAGCCCACACAGAGGCCCTATCCTTCCACACCTGCGCGCTCTCCGTTTTGTAATGGTCATCGAGATCCTTGTTCACGGCAGCGAACACTTGCTTTGAGATCTGCTGCGCCAGACCTTTCGCCAAGACCGTCACCGAGAGGAAGTGGGCCCACTTCGGAGCCTCCTTGTCGTTTGCGGGCGCCCCGTTGTAGTACACGGCAGTGTACAAGAAGCCCCAAGGGATCCACGCCATCGCCTTTTTCGGCAACGTGAAGACCGCGCAAGCCGTCGAGTTCATGAACTCGGCGCCCGCCTCACTCTGCAGAAACCTGGCGTGGCACAGATTCCTTTCCCACTCCTCCTCCCTCCTCCTCCTGCTTCTTTCCTTCTCCTTCCTTCTTACTCCTCCTTTTCCAATCTCCTCCTCCTCCTCCTCCTCCTCCTCCTCCTCCTCCTCCGTCCCTCTCCTCATCATGTCCTCAGTCCTCTCTCGCCCTTCCTCCTTCTCCTTCTCCCCCTGTTCCTCCTCCTCCTCCTCCTCCTCCTCCTCCTCCTCCTCCATCCTCGGTCCCCCCGTGTAAGCACATGGGTAGGTTTGGTCACAGGCCAACCCTGGCAGGTTGGAGATCACGATGCCCCGCGCGAGCAGCTCCTCGATCTTGTACACCATGAAAATGATCGGTTCGCTAAGCGCCATCACGTAGCAGCCAGCACCCGACATGTTGAACGCCGCAGGTCCCCTGCGACAGGCGTCGCGGCGCAGCGTCACGATGCTCGGGTGGTTGCCCTCCATGAAGAGCTCGCCAGAGCTCTCCGGCAGCTGGAAGTCCACGGTCGTCAGGTCGGAGGTCAGGCGCGTGAGAGCCCCAGTCCACTTCGTGGTCTCCATCTGCTTGTCAAGCACCTTCACCTTCTCATCGAGAGCCAGCCCACACTTGTCCATGATGGCCGAGCGCACCTTCAACCCCTTCGACTCGGTCATGGCCCAGGCGCAGACCTCTGAAGGAATCAGCTCTGCAGGGTTCACATTGACGATCTTGAAGAGCACTCCAGTCTCCTCAGCCGTCAGCGGAGTGCCAGAGCTCTCGTACACGAGGCTGCCAATGACCTTGGCATGCTTCGTGTGGTAGCCGCCTGCAGTCAAGGCATTCGCAACCTTGCACAAGCGAACACTCCCTCATCACCTCACTTGTCTTCCTTCTCCTTCTGCCTCCTGTTCCTCCTCCTCCTCCTCCTTCCAGTCCCCCTCCTCCTCCTTCTCCCTCTTCCTCCTCATCCTCCCTCCCTCCATCCTCCTCCTCCCTCTCCTCCTCCTCCTCCCTCTCCTCTTCCCCCTGTCCTCCAGTTGCTGGAGGGCAGGACGGGTTATGAGGGTGAGTTCGCTTGTCCAGTTGACCTTACCCTTCTGGTGACGCACTGCCAAGTACTCGGTGCGCTGCGCCTTCCTGGCGGTCGAGTCCATGACGCAGAACGTCGTCGTCTTCTTCTTGGCCTGCTCCTCGAAGTCGTTGAGAGCCTGTGTCACTGCGGCCAGCCTATCTTTGAGACCATCCACGCCGTCAGCCTTCAGGTCCTTCAGCGCTGGCCCCTTGATGTCCATAACCTCATGCACGTGCGTCGCATAGTCCGCGAGGATCTGAGTACAATTCGGAGCATCTGAATTCTGCGAGTGCTTCTTCACCAGGGCCTCCAGCTTGTGCGCCATAGACTTCGCGCCAGTGTGCCTCTTCAGCAGGTTGACGCAGCTCTCTGAGATCTCCTCCTTAGCAACTAAAAAGAGCGCCTCCTCGTTGCCCTCCTCGATCTTCGACTTGATGTCCTTCCTCGGGGCCTTGGTCTTCACCGACGCTGAATCGTCGTCCATCCTGTCGCGCTTGGCAGCCAAGCTTCGCAAGGGCGACCCGCCTCGAGGAATCTTCTCCAGGTGGCCAGACGGGAGGTCACCGAGACCCATCAATTGACGAAGATTGGCGCTTGGGCTCCTGGCAGGTTCATTGTGGCCACCCTCGTCCTCCAGCACTCTCTGAGTCACCTTGCCAGTACTCGTGTCGCGGCCAGACTCCTCTCTCGTGTACTTGCGGGCCTTGAGGGGCTGGACTGCCTCGCCGTCGCTGTCGAAGTGGGGGTCTGCGTCCTGCATTGCGTCGAACTCCTCGCTGGCGTCATCTGACTCTACCTTGTCCCAGAAGGCCCTGTACGACTTGAAGTGGCGCTTGCTGTAGAACTCCGTCTTCTTTCCCTCACGCTTCGACTCGACACTCCTGTCAGTCGCCTGCTGCACAACGAGCTGCTTCTGCGTCTCATCCCGAGCGATCCTACGACTCGTAGTATCCGTTGGGATGTAGGGCTTCACCTGAGCTCGAAACTGGTCGGGATCTGATTTCACCAGATCTGCAGACTCCTTGAGGGCCTTCGCGTTGCCCTTCAGCTGCAAGCGATGGGCTCGAACCGCATTCCAGCACCTCTGACCGAGCATGACGC